TCACAAACACTGAGGGTAAAGTAAAGGTAAAGGGACCCCTGACCATTACGTCCAGTCTTGGTCGACTCTGGGGTTGCGGCGCTCATCTCGCTTTATTGGCCGAGGGGGCCAGCGTACAGCTTCTGGGTCATGTGGCCAGCAGGACTAAGACGCTTCTGGCAAACCAGAGCAGCGCACGGAAACACCGTTTACCTTTCCGCCGGAGGGGTACCTATTTATCTACTTGCACTTTGACATGATTTCGAACTTCTAGGTGGGCAGGAGCAGGGACCGAGCAACGGGAGCACACCCTGTTGCGGGGATTCAAACCACCAACCTTCCGATCAGCAAGCCCTAGGCTCAGTGGTTTAGACCACAGCACCACCCGCGTCCCCTTTTTAAGAAGTTTATTAATAGTGAAATACAATTTAAAAGTATATTAACAGTGAAATAATTATTAAGCTCTAACTTAAAATGCAGTGGCACGGGTGGCGCTGTGGGTTAAACCACAGAGCCTAGGGCTTGCCGATCAGAAGGTTGGTGGTTCGAATCCCCACGACGGGGTGAGCTTCCATTGCTCGGTCCCTGCTCCTGCCAACCTAGCAGTTCAAAAGCACGTCAAAGTGCAAGTAGATAAATAGGTACCCCTCCGGCAGGAAGGTAAACGGCATTTCCGTGCGCTGCTCTGGTTTGCCAGAAGCAGCTTTGTCATGCTGGCCACATGACCCAGAAGCTGAACGCCGGCTCCCTCGGCCAATAAAGCGAGCAACGGGAGCTCACTCCATCACATGGATTCGAACCACCAACCTTCTGATCGGCAAGTCCTAGGCCCTGTGGTTTAACCCACAGCGCCACCCGCGTCCCATGATGGAAATTGTAGCACACACACAAAAAGCTGGGGACTCAAGTTTGGGAAACCCTGGAGTTAAAATGTAAATAGTGGCATTTCACCCCTTTGGCAATTCTCTCTTGCAGGGGTCGTCCAGCCCCAAGACCCACCTCTGACCCCATTTCACCTAGTCACTTAATAGGCACATTGTTAGTTCTGGAAATGGCACTTTTCCAGATACGCACAGTGTGACCTTAGAATTGCCCCTAAATGCAAACCAACAAGGAACTTTAATGCCCTTCTGCATCCCAGAGTGCCACTGAAACAGACTAGAAAACCTGTGGAAAGTGATTGGTCTCGATAATATCAACATTTTGGAACTTTCGCAGCGGCAAGCTAAAGTATGCATCGGCTGAAAGAGGGAGCAAGCTGGACGAGCATGCTAATCTAGGATTAAATGATTAAATGTCTCGACAGGTCAGGGTTTCTGAGCCGTAGAGCCTGACCACAATGAGGTTGCCAGGATCTTTTAATTCCCAGGTGAAGGAGAAGAATCGGGAGAGTCACATCCTCTGGGTTCAATTCCAGGATCTTTTATGTTTCTCTTAAAATTGTTCCTTTTTCCTCCTTTCCCTTCCCCCCCCCCTTTTAAAACTTTTTTCTGTTGCTGCTCCTGCTGTAAAGATTTCTTCTAAATTAAGCTTGTATTGTTGTGTAAGGTAAAGGTAAAGGGACCCCTGACCATTAGGTCGAGTCGTGACCGACTCTGGGGTTGTGGCGCTCATCTCGCTTTACTGGCCGAGGGAGCCGGCGTACAGCTTCCGGGTCATGTGGCCAGCAGGACTAAGCCACTTCTGGCGAACCAGAGCAGCGCACGGAAACGCCGTTTACCTTCCCGTCAGAGTGGTACCTATTTATCTACTTGCACTTTGACGTGTTTTCGAACTGCTAGGTTGGCAGGAGCAGGGACCGAGCAACGGCAGCTCACCCTGTCATTGCGGGGATTCGAACCGCCGACCTTCTGATCGGCAAGTCCTAGGCTCTGTGGTTTAACCCACAGCGCCACCCGCGTCCCTCTTCTAATATCTAAGAGCATCTAATATGTAAAGGGCTTTCGCGTGAAAGATGGGGCAAGCTTATTCTCTGGTGCTGCAGAGGGCCAGACCCAAACCAATGGGTTCAAATTGCTAGAAAGGAGATTCTAGAGAACTTTCTGACCCTTCTCAGAAGGTGGCGGTCAGGTTTTCTTGAGCTGTGATCCTGCAATGCAGGGGGCTGGACTAGATGACCTGGGGTGACCCCACCCAACTTTATAATTCTATGTTTCTAGAATTTTTTGGGTTTGTTGCACTGTTTGAATTTATTTAGGTGAGCAAATAGGGCTCACCAAAAGTGCCGGGCAGACCATAAATCAGTCACGGGACACCAGCTGTTGAAATGCCAATACACTACCCCTCAGTTTAGGGACGCGGGTGGCGCTGTGGGTTAAACCACAGAGCCTAGGACTTGCCGATCAGAAGGTTGGCGGTTCGAATCCCGGTGACGGGGTGAGCTCCCGTTGCTTGGTCCCTGCTCCTGCCAACCTAGCAGTTCGAAAGCACGTCAAAGTGCAAGTAGATAAATAGGTACCACTCTGGCGGGAAGGGAAATGGCATTTCCATGCGTTGCTCTGGTTCGCCAGAAGCGGCTTAGTCCTGCTGGCCACATGACCCGGAAGCTGTACGCCGGCTCCCTCGGCCAATAAAGCGAGTTGAGCGCCGCAACCCCAGAGTCGGCCACGACTGGACCTAATGGTCAGGGGTCCCTTTACCTTACCCATCAGTTTGGATTTAGATCTTAATTTACCTTTGCAGTTTCACAAATCTTGGTGAATCACCTTCTCGCCTGTCTCAACCCCCACTTAAGACAAGAATACTATTTAGAGAAGAAGAAAAAGTCTAGTTTGGTCTTTAATAGGAAAACAGTACCACATGAAATCAACACGCCAAAATAATAATGAAAGCCATAACAAAATATTTTACAAATATTTACAAGTGTCTCTGTACAGGGAGCATCCAGTATTTGTATCCAACTAAATCCTACTCAGAGTAGGACCCTCAGAAAACGATGGGCTCTCTTCCATCGGTTGTCAACAAGCAGAGGTTGGGTGGCCATCTGCCAAGGATTCTTTAGCAGAGATTCCTGCGTGTCGGGGTCAGACTAGATGACCATGGGAACCCCTTCCAGCTCTATGATTCTAGACCCAGACCCATCTGGGTGTGCCTTGCTTAATTCCATTGGCTTCAGCTGGTCTACTCTTTTGAGTCTGACGTAGCTGAAAACAACATCATCTGTACATATACACACACACAAACATATATATATATTAACACTTTGGATATTTACAGTATAGTACATTCTGTATTGAGAAGATCCTTTGGCCTGAGACCATGTTTTCCAACTACTTTTTGCTTTACACACACACCCACTCCTTCCTCGCTTTCCCTCACCTCTCCCCAAAAAGGGAATTCTATTCAATGGCAGGTTTATGAATATGCAACACTCAATTTCGGAACGTTGGCTTTCCCTACAAGCCCGGGAGAATGGAGGTTGCATGCAGGGGTTGGCGACGGGGCCAAATCAGGCCTGGAGAACAGGCGTTTCTAATGGGGGCCACCAAAGGTGAGACACGGCCCATGCTGAGCAACATGAGGGATGGGATACATAAGGAGCAGTCAAGTACGACATTCCTTGTTTTCCTAGAGTGGACATGCAGGGGGATGTTTGGTCCAGCCAGTCGAGAACTTCCTGTTTCCTCCTGGCTGGGACATACTTCCTTTGCATGTGACTAGAGGTGGGTGTGGCCTTACCTGCCCAGGTAACAAAAGGGCAACGCACACACCCTCTGTTTGATTCCTCCTTTTCCATCTTCCTTTCGTCTCGAGAACTGCAGTGACTGCCAGGATAAAACCCCCATATGGGGTAGATCCACACGTACGTATTTGTAACTTAAGTCTGCCTTCAGGGATCCAACTGTGAACTGAGGATGCGAGTAAACTTCTTTTGTATACTTTACACAAGATTGTGGCGTGTTTATTCTTTTAAGAGGGATATAAGGAAAGTTACCAGGAACCTAATACAGTGGATGCTTGGGTTGTGAACGTGATCCGTATGGGATGCATGTTCGCAACCCAAGTCTACGCATGCGCAGCTTGCGATTCGACACTTCTACGCATGCACAAAGTGCGATTTAGCGCATCTGCGCATGCGTGACCGCCAGAACCCAGAAGTAACTCGTTCCAGTACTTCCGGGTTTCGGCGGTCCATAACCTGAAAAAACGCAACCTGAAGCGTCTGTAACCCGAGGTATGACTGTATTGAGAGGCTTAAACAAGCCTGTAACCAGCTATCCGCTGTGCGTTTAAAAGGGGAATGTAAAACTCTGCTAGAGCGCAAAATATGGTCTGAAGCTCAGCATCGAAAAAAACTAAGATCATGGCCACTGGTCCCATCACTTCCTGGCAAATAGAAGGGGAAGGAATGGAGGCGGTGAGAGATTTTACTTTCTTGGGCTCCATGATCACTGCAGATGGTGACAGCAGCCACGAAATTAAAAAGACGCCTGCTTCTTGGGAGAAAAGCAATGACAAACCTGGACAGCATCTTAAAAAGCAGAGACATCACCTTGCCAACAAAGGTATGTATAGTAAAAGCTATGGTTTTCCCAGTAGTGATGTATGGAAGTGAGAGCTGGACCATAAAGAAGGCTGATCGCCAAAAAATGGATGCTTTTGAATTATGGTGCTGGAGGAGACTCTTGAGAGTCCCATGGACTGAAGATCAAACCTCTCCATTCTGAAGGAAATCAGCCCTGAGTGTTCACTGGAAGGACAGATCCTGAAGCTGAGGCTCCAATACTTTGGCCACCTCATGAGAAGAGAAGACTCCCTGGAAAAGACCCTGTGTTGGGAAAGATGGAGGGCACAAGGAGAAGGGGACGACAGAGGACGAGATGGTGGGACAGTGTTCTCGAAGCTATCAGCATGAGTTTGACCAAACTGCGGGAGGCAGTGGAAGACAGGAGTGCCTGGCGTGCTCTGGTCCAGGGGGTCACGAAGAGGTGGACACGACTAAACAACAACAACCCAAAAACTCTGCTAGCCCAAGTTAAGAAGGATATTAATAAACAACATATCCTCTCCTGCCTCTCTGAACATTCCCACATGACGGAGGCGTGTGGCTCAGTGGCAGCCGCAGCTCCCTGCCACCATGTCATCGTACTGCTTAAGCACCACGTTTTCGTCGTCGTCAAAATATAACAGGTTGATGGAGAACAGCTTGTCCGGCACGCAACAGGGGCCACTGACTTCCTGGCTCAGCTTCAGGGCGTTGATGATGGAGAGGACGGTGGCGTGGTTCGTGGGCCTCATGTTCTCCCCCAGCGGGAAGGGGCAGGAACCTTTGCAATGGTAGGCGTTGTACCCCCGGGGGGAGATGATCCAGCCGGACCACCCGATTTCCTCAAAGTCCACAGAAAGTGGGAGCCTCTGGCAAGGCAGCTGGTTGTCCACTGAGCGAGGGGTCCGCGTGCCGTTGGATTTGGAGCCTGCCAGGTGTCCAGGAAGGGCCACGTTCTGATGCGGCAATTCTAAGCAGGAGAGAACGAGATTGGAGTAATCATCATCATCATAATTTCTTATTCATACCCCGCCCATCTGGCTGGGTATCCCCAGCCACTCTGGGCAGCTCCCAACAGAAGATTAAAAGCACAATAGAACATTAAACATCAAAAACTTCCCCAAACAGAGCTGCCTTCAGATGTCTTCTAAAAGTCAGAGAGTTGTTTATTTCCTTGACATCTGATGGGAGGGCGTTCCACAGGGATGGCGCCACCACCGAGAAGGCCCTCTGCCTGGTTTCCTGTAACTTCGCTTATCGCAGGGAGGGAACCGCCAGAAGGCCCTCAGTGCTGGACCTGTGTCCGGGCTGAACGATGGGGATGGAGACGCTCCTTCAGATATACTGGGCCAAGGCCATTTAGGGCTTTAAAGGTCAGCACCAACACTTTGAACTGTGCTCGGAAACGTACTGGGAGCCAATGTAGGTCTTTCAGGACTGGTGTTATATGGTCTCAGCGGCCACTCCCAGTCCCCAGTCCAGCTGCCGCATTCTGGATTAATTGCAGTTTCCGGGTCACCTTCAAAGGTAGCCCCACATAGAGCGCATGGCAGTAGTCCAAGCGGGAGATAACCAGAGCATGCACCACTTTGGCGAGACAGTCTGCGGGCAGGGAGGGACTCATCCTGCATACCAGATGGAGCTGGTAGACAGCTGCCCTGGACACAGAACTGACCTGCGCCTCCATGGACAGCTGTGAGTAGCGTGAATGGCCAGTTGAGTAGATTAACGTTCGCTTATCTTTCCGAAAACGTTTAGATGCCGCCCTCTCGCAGTCATTTAAAAGTGCCACGTTGCAAAATAAAATTTAAAGTGTTGTCTTGAGAGACAATGGAGTGCACCTCTGAAGGTGAAACATCGAAATGACCTCCCTGGGGCACAAGAGTTTTGGCACCCGTTTGGCTGCAGAAATTGCTGGAAGGAGCTGTACAGTGGTACCTCGGGTTACATACGGTTCAGGTTACAGACTCTGCTAACCCAGAAATAGTGCTTCAGGTTAAGAACTTTGCTTCAGGATTAGAACAGAAATCGTGCTCCGGTGGCACAGCGGCAGCTGGAGGCCCCATTAGCTAAAGTGGTGCTTCAGGTTAAGAACAGTTTCAGGTTAAGAACGGACCTCTGGAACGAATTAAGTACTTAACCTGAGGTACCACTGTACAACTGTCTTAGGGACTCTGCTCTGGATTTGTGAGTGCCTAGGGTTTACTTCTGAGCCTTTTCTTCTCGCAGCAGAGATTTAGGACCAGACTTTCCCTTCTAGATCGGCGGTTCTCAACCTGTGGGTCCCCAGATGTTGTTGGACTACAACTCCCATCATCCCTGAGCTCTGGCCTTGCTAGCTAGGGATGATGGGCGTTGTAGTCCAACCACATCTGGGGACCCACAGGTTGAGAAAGGCTGTTCTGGATTATCTACCTTCCCAGGTGGATGAACCCCACTTTCCCCTCCCTTCTCTCTACAGCACATGCAGAAAACTGCCTTCTTGGCCATCAGAGCCATTCTCGGGTGGTCTGCTGAAGAATTACAGCCACAGGAATAAGGTGGATCCTAAAAATGGATATTTCAAGTGCCAAGGAGTGGGGAGGACATGAGGATACGATGGAAATTAGGCGCTGAAAGTTCATTATTCCTTGGACTATATGGAACTTGCTGAACTGACTCCAAGACCAGAGAGAAGAGACGGTGGAAGAAGATTGGAAGAAATTTAAGGAATATTTGGAAAAAAAAATGTTAATATTTAAATATTAGAATAGCTTTGGAAGTGGATATAGGCTGTAGGGTTAGAAGTAGAAGATAGTGTATTTTAAAATAGTATTATCTGTAAGTAATAAAATGTGAAGATTTTTATGGTTAAAGCAAGTGCGATAAAAAAAATATGGGTGGAAATTATGATGTATGTAACTGCTAAAGATGAGGTAAAATGAAAATCAGATGGGGGGACGTGGGGAAGCCCACCTAACAATGTTTAGGGGGGAGGACAAGACAAGAATTTGTTTGTACTGTTGGTTTTTCTGTTTGTGTTGTTTATTTGTGTTATATAATGAATAAAAAAAATGGGGGGGGGAGTGTATTATTCCAAGTTCACTACAGATGCTACAGTCTTGTATGTCCCCTTTTATTACAGCAATGTCCTTGATCCTGCCACACCGATAGACAAAAACATATCTTTCTTTACTCACCTAAGAAGGGGTTGGTGGGCAACAGGGCCCCCCGACGCCCGTCGTCGGTGAACAACACCAGCATGGGCCTTTTGCTCTCGTGGTGATCTCTGCCCGACGCGAACTGCACGGCTCCATCGTCTAGGGGTGCCCCACCGAGAGACCGCACAGTGACCAACAACCCCTGGTTACTGCTCTCCTCGTCCATCCAGGAGCGGACCTGCAACGTCACATCAGACCGGTTAACGTTTTGCATGCAGAGATGTGTGGCTCGAGAGAGCGAGCCAAGCCGCGCCCGGTGGCAGAGGTGAGGATAATTCCTGTTGTCCTTTTCTGAACTCTTTTCCAACTCTACAGTCTCCTCTTTTGAGACCAGAACTGCACACAGTACCCCAAATGTGTTACGCAAACATAAATTCACAGTTCTAAAATACACATTGTGGGTTGTACCCGATGTAGCACTAAGTCAGGCACAGGCAAACTCAGCCCTCCAGCTGTTTTGGGACTACAACTCCCATCATCCACAGGACCAGTGGTCAGGGATGATGGGAATTGTAGTCCCAAAAAACATCTGGAGGGTCGAGTTTGCCTATGCCTGCACTAAATGCAAGGATATCTGCTTGTGGTGCTGTAATTTACAGGGGGCAAGGAGCCATGTTACGGATTGGGTACGGATCTGGAGTGGGGAGGGGGGGGGAAGTAAACCTGATGGTATTTTGAATTGATTTTGTTATGTAAGCCTTTTTTTCAGAAACCATATATATTAATGTTATGTCCCAGATACCTCGATATCTGTCTACCTTATCGGTTGCGTCGCATAGTTTCGCTTTTGTTAGAGCCAGATTTAATGTGTTCCCCTCAAATGTGCTGAGCAATAGATTCTCTAACGGTAAAACCTCTGTTTTATGCGCATGTGACAACAAATCAATAGAATCCCTTCATCATATCTTGTTTAATTGTCCTTTATATATTGTTCCCCGATCAAGGATTCTGAGTTCAATCATTTTGGAAACTGTTGCTAAACCACCTGAATTACATCTAGCCTATCTACTCCAGGACATTGACTCTTATAGAACATTACAGGTTGCCAGATTCCTGAATTCAGTTCTTTCATATAAAAGACTTCATGGAATGCTGCATGACTATTAAAAATCTAGTAAACTCTATTCATCATCTTTATATGCAAGGCCACAATATGGTACATCTAGAGATTGTATGTAACGTGAAGGAGATTATGCGTTGAAATATTTTAGTTGATATTTTAGAATGTAAAATGCTATTTTATTTATTGATTGGTTTTACCTTGTGGGCTTATAGCCGAATAAAGTATTATCTATCTATCTAATGTTATGTAGTTAGGCATTGTAGTATGAATGAACTTTGTTTTGTATTCTTTGTTTTATAGAATACATATAATAATGTTGTGTTACTAAGCAAATTTAATAAAACAGTATAAAAAGAAAAGAAACAAACAAACTCACCGCTTGCGTGATGGCGAAGACCTCCCAGCCGGTTCCCTGCAGGGCAAGGAGTTTAGCAGACAGCAGCTTCTTGCCTTCAGGGGTATCCATGCTGTCTTTGTCAAGGACCTGATAAATGCTCACCTGAAAGGATGGAGAGAGAGAGTAAGGTCAGCCAAAGGAACCAGGTCTTGCTCACACCAGCCCCAGAGTGCTCCAGTTTTTAAATGTCCCTTCGAATCGAGCCTGTTTAAGGAATTCACGTGAAATCCCACCCCGAGGTGCGGCAGTGGGAAAAGCACTCTGCACATGCTCTCTGGAAACATCATTTGCGACTTCTTTCAAAGCTCTGTGGGGCAGCAGGGGCAGCCCCCAGGGCTTGGAAAGAGGATTCAGATGTCAACAGTTGTTTAATAAATAATAATAATAATAATAATAATAAATAATAATAATTATACCCCGCCCTCCTCGGCCAGAGCCGGGCTCAGGGTAGCTAACACCAGTAAAATTACAGGGGGGGAAACCAATTTAAAATACAGGTTAAAATGCAATTTAAAATGCAGCCTCATTTGAAAAGTAGCCCAAGGATCAAAACCGTAAGGGGAGGGAAACAGAAGGGTCAGACTGAGTCCAAACCAAAGCCCAGGCGGCACAGCTCTGTCTTGCAGGCCCTGCGGAAAGATGTCAAGTCCCGCAGGGCCCTAGTCTCTTGTGACAGAGCGTTCCACCAAGTTGGGGTCAGTACTGAAAAGGCCCTGGCCCTAGTTGAGACCAATTTAACCACCTTGCAACCTCCAAAATGTTGTCATTTGTGGACCTTGAGGCTCTCCGCGGGGCATGCCAGGAGAGGCGGTCCCATAGGTATGTGGGTCCTAGGCCACATAGGGCTTTAAAGGTCAAAAGCAGCACCTTAAATCTGACCCTGTCCTCCACCGGGAGCCAATGCAGCTGGAAAAGCACTGGGTGAATATGCTCCCATGGCAGAGACCCCGTGAGGAGCCTCGCCGCAGCATTCTGCACCCGCTGGAGTTTCTGGGACAGCTTCAAGGGCAGCCCTGCATAGAGCGAATTACAGTAGTCAAGTCTGGAGGTGACCGTCGCATGGATCACTGTGGCCAGGTCCGGGCGGGAAAGGTAAGGGACCAACTGCTTCCAGTTGGAAGCTTCCAGGCTCAAACCAGGTTGTGGGGAGACAAGCAAGCAGTGGAGGGCTGTGGGCGATAGTTCATTCAGTAGAGCATGAGGCTCTGTCACAGGGCCATGAGCCCCACATTGGGCAAAAGATTTCTGCATTTTAGTGGGGTCAGACTAGATGACCCATGTGGTCCCTTCCAACTATGATTCCGTGATATGTTGCGCACAAGGAAGGCTATTTTATTTTATTTTATTTTAGATACTCTTAGGCTGCCAGACCAATCAGCCTAAAAGAAATTTTTAAAAAAATAATATTTTTTTTTGCTTTCGTCATGTTTTTCAATTAATGCGTCTGCTCACTTGACAGGCGTTGATTATTAAAAGAGCAGACAACCTGACCTTTAATTTCAAGGGCTAAGTGTACCATGTTGAATTCTGCCAGAAAAATCCTTCAACCAAAACGAAACACCAAATAAGAATATCAGCGGTACCGTAGAGGACAAAATTTAAACATGGAAAGTGCTGAAACAGTAAATCTGCAGAACAAAACAAGTTTCCTGTTTATGCTCGGCTGCCGTGTAACTTCAGCTATTAACAGAAAACGAGACCAGGAGGGGAAATGTATGAAACAACTTTTAAGCAAGCGCAAAGGTACTGTGAAAAATCATGAATATTGTCCAAGTTCCCTGCCAAAAATTGACGAGGACACATTTTGAAGGGTTTTGGGGTTTTTTTTACTAGATACTTGGAAGCTTCTAATGTTCAGCACACGAGGAAGACATGACCATTATTGACCCAGCTTCTATGGGGAGTGCGATTCCCGGCAACTGGGTCTTCAGAAGTCAAGAGTGCCTCTGGGCATGGAAAGAGCGGAGCTCCCGCGGAAGGCTTTGGCCATTTACCTGGCAGAAGTGCTGCCTTCTGGGAAGAGGTCCGTCTGTGGCCCTTCGCCCGCAGCTTGAAGAGGTGCAGTTCGGCTGTGAGGACCCTCTCGTTCTTTGCCACGCTGGACAGGATGAAGAGGAATCGCATCTGGTCACCGTGAGCTGGAGGAGGAGGAAGGGAAGGTTATTAAAAATGTCCTTTTGTCACTCTCAAGGCTCGTCCACCCTCAATTGCCATTTGTTCAGATTCAGTGCTACACAGTGACTTGCGATCTCGATCACACGCAGTCTGTAGTCCGCTGGCAGTAGGAGTACAATATGGACATGTCTTTAAGTTAACATCTTACATTAAAAACCTGACAGTACCAAACTACCGAAGGCTTTTCACCAAAACCAGACTAAACGTCTTTCCTTCTGCAGTGTTGAGAGGAGTTCCCTACCAGGACAGACTTTGCTCGTGTGCTCAAGACATCGATCCCATAAAACATATTTTGTTGCACTGTGCGAAATATGAGCAAGCCAGGGCTGAACTGATACTACCCTTGCTGATACCTTTCCCGGGAAAATCAGAGGCTCACTATGTCAGGTTCCTATTGGAAGACCGGGCAAACGCCAGAACAGTGGCCAAGTTTTTAATCGGTGGTTGCAAGAACCAATGATCCCTATATTCTGAACAAAATGCTTGTTTAACCTGGAGGTAGGCTGCCTGAATTGTGTATTGCTTTGCAACGATTTGTTGGGTCTCTGGACCGGAATAAAGATTGTTGTTGTTGATGATTCAGTGCTAAAAGAGCAGGGGTAAACAGAGATGTTGGGAAAGTCATTTTTTTTCTGCAGCGATTTCCAGCAAATAAAATAGCAGCCGCCAGAGGCTTAGCTGAGCAGGAACCGCTAATGTCACCCCGCAAACCTGCTTGTGTTGTGATGATCTGGGTTCGGATCCCGGCTCAGCTGCGAAATCCACCTTTCTCTTGGTGTAGCTCATAGGCAGGATTTCAGGGCTCAAAACCAGAAAAGGGAAGCAGTGGGTGTGTGAGAGAGAGAAACTGAATAAAGGATAGCTGGTAAATGCATCGAGGGCTTGGTCGAGATTCGAACTCGGCTCTCCTGAAGCCCCAACCATTCTGAAGCACAGGTTAACGCTTTGCAGATGGCACGGGGAAAAGGATTGCTCCAGTCAGCCCTAGCGAATGTCAAGACGGAATGGGTTTTCCCAAAGAAAGTGTATCGAGGGTCCCGATCCCAGGTCAAACAACAAAAGTCGTGGTGGGTTCGTTGTGCCAGCGCTTCTGTATGTTTGAGGTCAGGACCAAGCCTGCTTTAAGCCTTGAAAATGCCACTTGTGAAAAAAAGGCGGAAGATTTATACGATCTGAAGAGAACCCAGAGTATATTAAGAATACCATATAGTAAAAGGCCAGAGGCATTCCTTTTAGGAATTTTAAATGACGATATTCCAAAAGACAAAACTAATTTTTTCATATACGCAACGTCTGCAGCAAGAATCCTGGTGGCTAAGTACTAGAAATGGAATCCGTTACCCACTAGGGGAGAGTGGCTATGTAAGCTCTCAGAATACTTAGAATTAGCCAAATTGACAGATATAATAAGACAAAAACCAAAAAGTGAAGTGAAAAAAGAATGGGAGTGCCTAAACGAATACCTCAAAAGTCAAGATTCGAGGGCAGAAATCTGGCTGAGTCTGGAATAACCTTGTGAAGTGAAAGGATATGAAAGAAGGATTTATATCTAGATGTTAGGATAGAGATGATAAAGAAGACAGGAAGACACAGTGAGAGGTAAATGAAGTGCTGTGGGACCGGTGGAAGTCAATGTCTTGTTGTTTTAGTGTTTATAATATTAACTTGTAAGATATGGAGTTGGTTTTTTTGTTTGGTTGTTGTTGCTTTTTTAGTTCTCGAACGTTGATTTGTGTGTGTTGTGTATTATTTTTTTATATCTTTCGTGTTGTTGTCGTTGTGTGGGAAATACTAATAAAATTTATTATAAAAAAAGAAAAGAGAATGCCACTTGTGGGAAGCTACAGAGAAAACACACACAGCAGGATACGCCCAGATTTCTGCAAGGAAAATTGAGTAGGTTTAAACCAGGACTTGAATGCTGAGAATCTCCTTTCTTCCCAGATGCTATAGAAACATCCATGGCCACCTAACAGAGCCATGTGTCGCCTCCCACATTCCATGTTAAAAGGTGGTTTGCCCATGAGGAAAAAAAATATCCATGTTACGGCAATTCCTAATTTAGTCATTTTTGGTGGGATTGTCCGTTAGTTAATGAATTTTGGGAACAGATTGGTACAGAAATATGGGGAATTGTGGGTAGGAAGGTGGAAAGATCTAAATTAATGGTTCTTATTAGCCTGAGGTAGCACAGAGTTAGAAACAAAAGAGGAATGTAAATGGGTAAATTTGATGGTAATTGCAGCCAGACAGGTTATAGCGAGTAATTGGAAAAAATGCAGAAGAGCTAGGGGTGAACCAATGGAGGAAAAAACTGAATAATATTATAATCTTAGAACTGAGAAGATACATAAAATGAAAGGGTTTAAGGTCAGTGAGAAGGAGGAGGATTGGTTTGAGAAGATATTGAATTATTTGGGCAGGTTTGAACAATTTGGGGCAACTAAAATGTTAAAAGTTAAATAAACCTTGTGGAGGGAGGAGTGTTAAGGTATATAGAATTGTACATATGGTTGATTTGAATATGTTATTGTTGATGATGTATACCCAATGTATCAACCGCCTGGGGGGTTTCACTGTTTGTGTTTTGGTTGTTGGTAAAAAGTAAATAAACAAATAAATAAAAATTCCTAAATTAGGCTGACAAAAAGGTTACGGGAACAGTGTGCAAGCTTTCACGTTCTCCAGAACTCTTCACCTCGCCTGAGGAAGAGCTCTGTGGGACTGAAAAGCTTGCAGGCTGATCACGTAACATTTTTGGATGACCTGGTAAAGAAATGTCCTAATACAGAATTTTTTTGATGGGGCCAACACAACTACGTTTATTTTTTGTGTCACCTGGGCATAACTTGAGTGCAGAAAGTGGACATTTAAAAGAGAGAGAGGTTCAACACTTATTTTGACGTTAACCTCACCCCCACTCCTAAAAATAAGAGAAAATTGGTTGCATCTGATATTAGCCCTGTCAGAGCTGACCTGCTGAAATTATAACGGATACAAATTACCGGTACTTCAGTGCATTAATTTTAAAAGGTTGACTCAGTAGATACAACCAGATATGTTTAGGGTGCGCTAAACGTGAAATATTTTGGAAAGCTAACACGTGCCAGAAGGCTGTTATTTTTGCTGCAACTGACTCGCAGTTCCCCCTCTGCAATCTAAAATGCATGTTCGCAATTGTAAGTGAATCACTGGTTCGCTAGTAAAACTGAATTACTGTGCTGCAAAATGATGCACGTCTAAAAAACTGTCCTCAATGTGAAAAGTTTGGAAAGCTCTGATCTGGTCCAAGTCCTTTGCAATGCAGGCATATGTAGCGTTCCCATATGGGCATCAAACCTGCAACCTTGCCATTTATCAGCGCCACACTCTAACCAAATGAGCTATCCTGGCTCCAAGGAATCATTTCCTGATCTGGATAAAATATAAAGATATTTACAGTAAGAAGGAAAGGCAGTTTGCTTTGTGCATAAGAATACCACCATCTCTGCACAGCTGTGCTGAATTTTTACAAAACAGTGTGCAAGCTTTGGAGTCCTTCAGAAAAACTGAAGGAGAGGTTTGTGTGAAGATCAAATCCCAAAAGCCAACAGGGACAGAACTACCTAAACTATATGGAAAATTATTCATGTAGGCTACTACAGCAGCAAGAATGTTACTCGCCCAAAAATGGAAAGAATCAGAAATTTCAGCAAAAAAAGAATAGATACAAAAACTTATGGAATAAGCAGAAATGGTGAAACTTGCTGGAAGAATTAGAAATCAAGACAACAAACTTTTTTTTATAAAAGAATGGAAATGGGTTAGTGAATATTGACAGATAAATTGTAAACCGATAAGGACATTGGCAGGATTATTGTAATAACCTGCAGTTTCATAAGAGTACATATTTAAAAGTAGATGAATAAATGGGCAAATTAAGTTAATTTGGATATGCAGAAAAGATATTAAGAATAAATTTAAGGAACGGCAGAAAGAGGGGGGAGGAAGTTGAGTTTGGAAATGTTAAAGTGGTTGTAAAATTAATGGAATGTATAAACCTGAAAAGCAAAAATAAAATAAAATAACAGGCCAAATGCCTTCATCAAAAGGAAAGGTGTCAGATTTTAGGCCAGCTGTGGGGAACCTTTGCCTCTCCAGATGTTGCTCAGCTGCAGCTTCCATCAGCTCCAACAGACCCAGGGGTGGTGGTGATGGGAGTTGTAGTTCATCACGTCCAGAGGGTGGAAGGTTCCCCATGCCTGGGCCTTAGATAGCCATCCTGAAGCCACTGCTTTTAGGGGTAGGGTGGGAGGGAAAGTTTGGAGCCCTTGGTGGGGTCCCTAACAACAACCGCCCATCACCTCCCTCCTGTAAACCTCGCCAAGAAAGCCTGCCCCGTGCCCCTGACACCCTGGCACCCCTCTTGCCAATGCCCCCTCTGCGTCGCCACTTACTTCTGTCCAAAAAGCTGCGCACTGTATTGCCTTCCAAGATGTCCGGGTCCTTGGTGACTCCATCGTCATCGGCCACCGTGTTGTAGAGGTCCACCATGTACTGGGGAGGCCGGATGATGTGCTGGGGAGATTGAGGGGGGTCCCCAATGCCGAAGACCTCCAGCAGCCTCTTGAGGGCCTGGGCTCTTGTGCCCTCGGAGGCCCCTGCCTCCAGATGAGAGGAGGGTCTGCCAGGGAAGGCGGGCATCCATGCCAGGAGAAGTAAAAGCAGTTGCTGGGGATGGAACATGGCTGATTTCTCTCCCTCTAACTTCTCCTTCCATTTGGCTCCCCTACAAGGCTGCACTTATAACCCAGGCTGCTGCCCATCTCTTGGCCCAACAATGAGGTCCATGGATTAGGTCCCCCTGCTAATGGGCCACTCAGGAAGGGCTAATTGCGGCGCTAACAAGGTGCGAAGGAACACACAAGCCTTTTCTGGGGAGGGTTGTGGATTCTCTCCCTTTGACATCCCTTTCCAGATGGACCTGGCTTGGCAGGAAGGAGAAGGGAAGCCAGCTGCCAAAGTTTATTCAGTGGGCAAAGGCTGGGTTTGCTCTCCCTGGGAGGCTAACGAGTGTGTAATGGGGCCATTAAGGTGGGGATTAAGGCAGCCTTTCTGCAAGAAGGCAGGAGAGGAAAGGCTAATACACAAGCAAGAAAAATGAGAAGCCATGCAACCTTATTTCCCGGCAAAACAGAGCGTACATCATGGATTTGGATATAGAGGCACAGAGACACACAGAGGGACAGAGAATGAAAACATGCTTGAAACCCAGCTGTCAGTTCCATCAAAACACCACACACTATTACGTTATCCTGTAAAGTTGTATGAAAAGCCGAGAGATCAATACTTAAATTGCTTGTCACCCTCAGTAATATCAACAAAATCAGGTATTTGCTGTCTTCCTTGGCCAAACTAGCCATGCCTCAAGGCATTGGAGTTTGAGGCAGAAGCCTCCCAACTTAGGAAAACCTCAGGAGTCCACCCTTACGCTTAGTAGTAGTAGTAGTAGTAATAATAATAATAATAATAATAATAATAATAATAATAATAATAATAATTCCTGCTTGGCAGGGGGTTGGACTCGATGGCCCTTGTGGTCTATTCCAACTCTATGATTCTATGATTCTAATAATAATAATAATTTATTTGTACCCCACCCATCTGGCTGGGTTTCCCCAGCAACTCTGGGCGGCTTCCACAGAGACCAAAAATACACTAAAATATCACACATTAAAAACTTCCCTGGCCTTAAGATGTCTTCTGAATGTCAGGTAGTTGTTTATCACTTTCTACAAGAAAGAAGATTCCACCTAAACATTAGGAAGAACTTCCTGACAGTAAGAGCTGTCCGACAGTGGAATTTGCTGCCAAGGAGTGTGGTGGAGTCTCCTTCTTTGGAGGTCTTTAAGCAGAGGCTTGACAACCATATGTCAGGAGTGCTCTGATGGTGTTTCCTGCTTGGCAGGGGGTTGGACTCGATGGCCCTTGTGGTCTATTCCAACTCTATGATTCTATGACATCTGATGGGAGGGTGTTCCACAGGGCAGGCGCCACCACCGAGAAGGCCCTCTGCCTGGTTCCCTGTAGCTTTGCTTCTCGCAATGAGGGAACCGCCAGAAGGCCCTCGGAGCTGGACCTCAGCGTCCAGGCAGAACGATGGGGGTGGAGGCGCTCCCAGAGATAAGAACCACCTGACTTATTATAAGGATTTATTTTTTAAAAAAAACGCTTCTGAGATTGTGCACTCACTGCTTTCCTTTTCTTCCTTTTCTGCTTTTTGGCTATAACCTGCATTTGGCTGAGCAATACAGTTTTGTATGTGCAAAACATTATTCCCACGATTGTTGCGTTATTATAGGAGCAGAGGAAGCTAGCCTCTCCACACCCAGCTCAGTATCCTTTACTTTCTGCAGATATCCTAGACCTCATGGTCCTGAATCAACGGCTAAAGATGCTGTGTGTCCACCCAGGCCCAAGATTGCCTGTGTGGACCGACAGAGACTCGCCAGCGTTGCAGGCAGAAATTTATCCCAGTCCTGCATCCAAACTGCGCATCTAAAATACATTTGCAGCAGTCCTCTCGTACAAGAGACGGAATGGAATGTTAGCTGATTATTGATAGTTATAAGAATTTTCTATAATGACATCAGATATTGATTTTAGTGTAGTGCCTAAAATTTTTTAATCTTAATCTTAATCTTCAACTTTTCTTATGAATGGCTAATATCTGTCCTTGTGAGTTGAGAACTGTGTTATACTACTTGTGGCTTGTACGAGTCCGCTGTTTTATTTTATTTGATTTGTTGTGTTGTGTTGTGTTGTGTTTCATGATGGGCGTAAAGCCGAATAAACATTTTGATTTTGACCTCCCCGGGGTGCAAGCCTAGGCAGTGAGCATGGTGGTCTTGGGCTGCTCAGACGACAAGACCTCACCCCCCTTTCTCGGCCTCGCTGTTGGGGTCCAAAGGAAAGCAGAGCAAGATGTTTGGCCCCAGCTTGGCTGCAGGAGTTGCTGGTACAAGGTGCCATACAAACCGCTCCAGATTTGTGTAGGGTTCACTCCTGAGCCTTTTCTTCTCCCAAAAATGTACCACAAGACAGCGGAGGTTTAGTATCAGAGTTTTTCTTTTCCTAGATGGGCTCCGTATAGTTAAAGCTATGGTTTTCCCCCAGTAGGGATGTATGGAAGTGAGAGCTGGACCATAAAGAAGTCTGAAAAAAACAACTGTTGGTTTTTTTTTTAACACAATTAGGGTTTTATTTTTAGCACTCCCATGGGTATGTGTTTTGTCTACCATCATTCCAGGGAGAGCCCTGCATTGTTTTGCAAATACCAGCCTGCAGAAGTGGCAAATTGTGTTCACACAAGATGAGCCCCCCAAAAAGACCTAGCTTCAGAGAAATTATGTCCACAAACAGAATCTGTCAGTCAAGGTTATCCTTAGCTGAAAGCACACATGACCAATGGCCATGAAATAAGAGAGCAGCTCAAATCTTTAGAAAGTTCTGCTCATGATTAGACCAACTTGGGAATGGGCTACTGCTAGGGAAACACACACCAGCTTGTTCACACATAAGGTTCTGGAAGGTAAATTAAGCAAATATGAAAATGTACTTGGGTAAGGTAAAGGTAAAGGGACCCCTGACCATTAGGTCCAGTCGTGACCGACTCTGGGGTTGCGGCGCTCATCTCGCTTTATTGGCCGAGGGAGCCGGCGTACAGCTTCCGGGTCATGTGGCCAGCATTACTAAGCCGCTTCTGGCGAACCAGAGCAGCGCACGGAAACGCCGTTTACCTTCCCGCTGAAGTGGTACCTATTTATTTACTTGCACTTTGACATGCTTTCGAACTGCTAGGTGGGCAGGAGCAGGGACCGAGCAATGGGAGCTCACCCCGTCATGGGGATTCGAACCGCCAACCTTCTGATCGGCAAGTCCTGGGCTCTGTGGTTTAACCCACAGCGCCACTCTTTTATCACTTGAGCTGTTGTGGTTTTTGCAACCAATCGCTCTTCCCAGGGAACTGTAGTTCTAGGAGAGAAAGAGGGATCGTCAAACGACCGTCGGCCCTTGTAACAAACCATAAAGTTCCCAGCATTCTGGTGTGTGTTTGAAGCGGCATTTAACTGCTTTAATTGCATGGTGCAGATGTGACCCTCTCTCTAATAATATGGGACACTTTCGACACTTCTGGGTTAAGCCAGAGTTCAGTCCTGTATCCCGGCTGCGACATTTTCAAATGACCACTCTTTGCAACATTGGCATGTTCTTGTTTTTAAAAGGGGGGAAAGCTGTTTAGCATTTATTAAATTCTCTCTGTAAAAGGTCTGACACACATAAAACCAATGAGAGATAAAGAATGGAAAGTGACCCCACTGAAAGAAACTTGACAGTACAAATTTAAATCCATGCAATTCAAATTGGCTTAATCCTGAAGTGTAATCCAATGAGACTGAAGACGAGAAACTTGAGGTCCTGGACAAGGCAGTAAAACACTCTGAGACCTTCTGGATCCTTGGACTGATTTACATCAATAAGAGAACCAATTTTTGATGCGGTGAAAGAGATGTGTTCACCACCAGTTACAATTCCAAGCTCCTGCCGGCCAACTCTGTCAGGATGCGGCCATAAGGCATCATCTTCTTTCGTGATTTCACTGTCATCGATTATCCTCTTCAGTTCTTCCATCACACTTTTTTCTACTTAGGATCCTTTTGCCTGTTGTCTTTCTCCATTGTAGTCATATATAGTCATATTGTAGTTCAAGCTCTGGTTTTCCCAGTAGTGATGTATGGAAGTGAGAGCTGGACCATAAAGAAGGCTGATCACTCTCAAGAATCTGGTGCTGGAGGAGACTCTTGAGAGTCCCATGGACTGCAAGAAGATCAAACCCCTCCATTCTGAAGGAAATCAGCCCTGAGTGCTCACTGGAAGGACAGACCCTGAAGTTGAGGCTCCAATACTTTGGCCACCTCAGGAGAAGAGAAGACTCCCTGGAAAAGACCCTGATGTTGGGAAAGATGGAGGGCACAAGGAGAAGGGGACGACAGAGGACGAGATGGTGGGACAGTGTTCTCGAAGCTACCAGCATGAATTTAACCAAACTGCGGGAGGCAGTGGAAGACAGGAGTGCCTGGCGTGCTCTGGTCCAGGGGGTCACGAAGAGTCGGACACGACTAAATGACTAAACAACAACAATGGTTAAAGAGTACAAAACATGGACCCAGTTATACCAGAGGAAAGTTATTAAAGTATTAAAATGCCCTGAGTCACTATTTCAGGCATATTTGATCATAGGTTGAGGGGGGGGCGTCCTTTGTCATGTCCCTCCTTGCTTAGAGGGGAAATAAAGTCGACCAAACAGGTCCTAAAACATCCTTTTTCCTTTGGTCCCAGCAGGACAATATCCCAAACAGGAAGCTTGGCCCCGTCTAAACCTCTCCCCAAAATGTGCAATGTTCATTCTAGCTACTTATAAGTAGGTGCACTATCGAGTCTTGAAGGCTGAAATAACCGAAATTCCCCCCCCAAAAAAAACCCCACCCATTTATTCATGTATTCGCCACCTCTTGACAAACCACATCTGGGGGACACGTTGGCAAGCGGAATCCTCCTCCCATTGACTTGCTAAATTAAACCTCGTGTTTTGGGGGGCGCCCGTTCCAGACCCTTTAAGACCCCGCATTTGCAAGCTCGGACGGCAAAGACAGTGCGCAGCTCCCCGCTTCGGCTCCGGAAGGTATGTGTCTCGTATTGGTGAGGGTTGCAGGAGCTGGAGATGTCTTCGCGCCAGACAAGGCACTTGCCTCGGCTCTGATGATCCCTGTGTTGAGAAACAAAGCAGTTGGCCGTGAGAGCCGATTTCAGGCTAGGGCGTCCTATTAAACCAACCTGGCTCCTTCCAGGTGTTGTAAGGCTAAGGTAAAGGTAAAGGTACCCCTGCCCGTACGGGCCAGTCGTGTCCGACTCTAGGGTTGTGCGCTCATCTCACTTAAGAGGCCAGGAGCCAGTGCTGTCCGGAGACACTTCCGGGTCACGTGGCCAGCGTGACGAAGCTGCTCTGGCGAGTCAGCACCAGCGCAGCACACGGAAACGCCGTTTACCTTTCCCGCTATAAAGCGGTACCTATTTATCTACTTGCACTTAGGGGTGCTTTCGAACTGCTAGGTTGGCAGGAGCAGGGGCCGAAAGACGGGAGCTCACCCCGCCGCGGGGATTCGAACCGCCGACCATACGATCGGCAGGTCCTAGGCACTGAGGTTTTACCCACAGCGCCACCCGTGTCCCGATGTAAGGTTGTAAGGCTACCCCTCTACAAATGTAATCTGGTTAAGGAATATTGGCAAAAGATTATAAAGGTAATTTCTGGATTATTTCAAATAAACATAGAAGTTAATAGGGATTTGTTATTTTCGGGAATACTGGGAAATAAAGTAAAAAGTAATAAGCAAGGGTTGTACAAGATTATGATTCTAGCTGGAATGGCAGTTATTGCTTTGGGGTGGAAAGAAAAGGCCAAATGGAATATGGAAAAATGGAAGGATTATGTTTTTGAATACATACAATCAGAAATATTTGCACAGATAGTGGCAGAGGATAGATGGGAAAATAAATGCCAAAGAATCACAAATAAATGGGCATTTTACAGGGACTGGATAGGAAGAGGGGAAGCCAAGCCTAACATACAAGCTCGAATGAACAGACTGTGTACATGGATAAAGATATGAAGAAGGAAGGCCTGACCGGGTGGGTGGGTGGGTTGGAGTGGGGAGGGGGGGGAAGGTAAACCGGATGGTATTTTGAATGGATTTTGTTATGTAAGCCCTTTTTCAGAAACCAGATATATTAATGCTATGTAGGTAGGCATTGCGGGACGCGGGTGGCGCTGTGGGTTAAAGCCTCAGCGCCTAGGACTTGCCGATTGAAAGGTCGGCGGTTCGAATCCCCGCGGCAGGGTGCGCTCCCGTCGTTCGGTCCCAGCACCTGCCAACCTAGCAGTTCGAAAGCACCTTCAGGTGCAAGTAGATAAATAGGGACTGCTTACCAGCGGGAAGGTAAACGGTGTTTCCGTGTGCTGCGCTGGCTTGCCAGAGCAGCGATGTCATGCTGGCCACATGACCCGGAAGTGTCTTCGGACAGCGCTGGCCCCCGGCCTATAGAGTGAGATGAGCGTCTCCACCCCCATCGTTCAGCATAGGGCACATCTGGTGGGAGGGCGTTCCACAGGGAGGGCGCCACTACCTAGAAGGGCCTCTGCCTGGTTCCCTGTAGCTTTGCTTCTCGCAATGAGGGAACCGCCAGAAGGCGCTGGACCTCAGCGTCCGGGCAGAATGATGGGGGTGGAGATGCTCCTTCAAGTATACTGGGCGGAGGCCGTTTAGGGCTTTAAAGGTCAACACCAACACTTTGAACTGTGCTCGGAAACGTACTGGGAGCCAATGTAGGTCTTTCAGGACTGGTGTTATGTGGTCCCGGCAGCCACTCCCCGTCACCAGTCTAGCTGCCGCATTCTGGATTAGTTGTAGTTTCCGGGTCACCTTCAAAGGTAGCCCCACGTAGAGCGCATTGCATTAGTCCAAGCAGGAGATAACTAGAGCATGCACCACTCTGGCGAGACAGTCCGCGGGCAGGGAGGGTCTCATCCTGCGTACCAGGTGGAGCCGGTAGACAGCCGCCCTGAACACAGAACTGACCTGCGCCTCCATGGACAGCTGTGAGTCCAAAATGGCTCCCAGGCTGCGCACCTGGTCCTTCAGGGGCACAGTTACCCCATTCAGGACCAGGGAGTCTTCCACCCCCGCCCGCCCCCTGTCTCCCCAAAACAGTACTTCTGTCTTGTCAGGATTCAACCTCAATCCATTAGGGATATGGACACTGCTGCATTTTGGGGGGTGTTAACTACGGACCCTGTGCTTCATGTATCAATTACTTGGCTTACGGAACACTGCAAAAATAAATAAATATGGGAGTGTGTTTTGCTGCAAAACGGCTGCAAAACTTTGGGACGGGTTTAGAGGGGATCCTAAATGTTAGTTCATAATCCCAGGCAAGCACAGGTGCCCTTTCCACAGCAAAAAGACGGATACTGATGAACTGGAAAAATAAAATACTGGAAATAAAAACACTGGAATAAAAAATACTGGAATAAAAAACCTGGAAAAATAAAAAATGCGGCTCCCTTCTACAATTGGATTGAAGACTTTTTGCCAACTCGCAACATGCATAACAACTTGCATATAACCGCAGAGTTGCCATGGACAAATAATTCTACGATATCTGGAACCCATTCTTACAAATACTGTAATAGGTTAAGATCTGGTGAGGTACAATTAAAACCTTGTAAAGTATATATAGTTTTGGGAGTCCGTCCCCCCTTTATTTTCCTTTCCACACGGGTTCCGTTTCTCTTTTCCTCTCTCTTTTATTTACGACTCACCATGTTTAGTGCGCATATAATTATGATCTCTTTCAGCTTCTGCCTTCTGGAAGAAGGTACAAGGTTATAAAGACTAGGACTAGCCGCCTGAGAAACAGTTTCTATCCAAATGCGATTTTGGTTTTAAACGCAGTGTAAGGTAGCCTCTGTGGGAGTATATTGTATTCAATTATGGGGTATCAGAGTTTTTAGGGGGTTAACCAGGCTGGGATAGCTGGCTTGTTAGTTTTTGAATGTCTGATGTAGATTTTTTCCAGTTTCGTTGTTCTGTATGGGACAACAACAGTAAAGATTATCGTATCTGTATAATTATATACAAACCTTTGGCACAGGTTTGGAGGGGTTCCCAATGTTGGGGTCCCTAGTTCATAATCCCCAGCAAGCCCTAGTGTGGGTGAGCCCAGCATTTAGGGGGGGCGTGTACTGAATGAATGATGCACTTTACACCTCTAGAAACCTCCCTTGGGGAATCTCTTTCTCCCAGTCTGTCGCTGAGCCCAATCCACAGAAATTAACAGGAACAATCTATTTGGATTCCGCTCTCAGGTGTTGCCATTGTGTGTGTGTGATCTCCTGTGCTTGCACACCTTCCCCTTAGAGCAGTTTGTGGGCATTGCATTTAGAACTGCATTTGTCAGGTTTTTTTGGGATGTGCAGTTAGCACCTGCACTCACACCTTTGGGGCAGCTGTGCTTACCTTAGCAGGCAGGGACTTCCAGGGTCACATTGCCCTAAGCATCTTCCAACATCAATTTCCTGGAAGATTTGAAAGACAAAAGGAGAAGGGGAAATCACTTGCCAGCCTCCCACTGTCTTTGCCAGGGTGGTGGTAATTCAAAAGGATATGTGTCATTCACAAATACACCTCCTAGGACCACCCACACCCAGCATGGAAGAAGGAAAACACAGCTTGGCTTTGCAACAGGAAAAACGGGGGGGGGACGGGGGGGGGACAAACACATTTAGCTAAACATCATTCGCAGAGGAATTATTATTTTGGAGTTTTATTGCTGCAGAAAACAGCACACAGAAAATGAGAGTCCTTAAAAGCTGAGCGCATAACACCAAACTGGGAGGGGTAGCTCAGAAGATAAAATCCAGATACAAGCTGACATAATCATCATCATCATCATCTATTAGGGACGTGGGTGGCACTGTGGGTTAAACCACAGAGACTAGGGCTTGCCGATCAGAAGGTCGGCGGTTCAAATCCCTGCAACGGGGTGAGCTCCCGTTGCTCGGTCCCTGCTCTTGCCAACCTAGCAGTTCAAAAGCACGTCAAAGTGCAAGTAGATAAATAGGCACCGCTCCGGCGGGAAGGTCAACGGCGTTTCCGTGTGCTGTTCTGGTTCGCCAGAAGCGGCTTAGTCATGCTGGCCACATGACCCGGAAGCTGTACGCCGGCTCCCTCGGCCAATAAAGCGAGATGAGCGCTGCAACCCCAGAGTCGGTCACGACTGGACCTAATGGTCAGGGGTCCCTTGACCTTTACCTTTATTAATTTATTATTTATACCCCGCCCATCTGGCTGAGTTTCCCCAGGCACTCTGGGCAGCTTCCAATCAAGTGTTAAAAACAATACAGCATTAAATATTAAAAACTTCCCTAAACAGGGCTGCCTTCAGATGTCTTTTAAAAAGAAGGATTGGGAGATTGGGCCCAGGCTAACAAAATGAATTTCAACAGGGACAAATGTAAGGTCCTTAGAAATAAACAGAGGCACAATAATAGGATGTGAGGGGCTGGGGGAATCTGGCTTGACAGCAGGACGTGCAAAAATGATCTAGGGGTTTTAGTCGACCATGAGCTTAATGTGAGCCAACAGCGAGATGCAGCGGCAAAAAAAGGCGAATGAAATTCTAGGCTAGCATAGCGTCCAAATCGAGGGAAGGAATAGTATCCCACTCTATTCTGGGCTCCCCGGTTTAAGAGGGATATGGACAAACTGGAAGGTGTGCAGAGGAGGGAAACCAAGATGATCAAGGGTCTGGAAAGCAAGCCTTATGAGGAACGGTTGAAGGAGCTGGGTATGTTTAGCCTGGAAAACAGTAGACTGAGAGGAAATATTGTCAGATGTACGTGCAGGAGCCAGGCCCTGTGACCAGTAGGGCTTCGCAGGACTGGGGCCTTCCTAAGTTTGTTCTGGAGAGGCAAGGGGCGGCCGCACAGGTGAGGCCGATTGGTAACTCACAACACCTGCTGGCAAGAGCCAGGAAGGGATATAAGGCCAGCATTTTCCCTTCGGCTCTTTGCCACAGCAACACGTTCCCTGCCTTGCTGCGTTTGGCTCCTTGACTCCTTGCTTCTTGATCCTCAGACCCCTGACTTCGTGACTCCTTCCTTCTTCATCCTGAAACCCCTGACTTTGTGACTCCTCGCTTCCTGACCCTTGGACCCTTGGCTTCTTGACTCCCAGCTCTCTGACCCTTGGACTCTTGGCTTCCTAACTCTTAGCTTCTGGACTCCTGTTCCTGCTCCCACCCCGCCATCTTGCCCCCAGTCCCAACGTCCCCAGCCGGGACTTCAATCGCCCGTGAACCGGAACTTGACAGATATGATAGCCATCTCCAAATATCTTAAGGGCTGTTCTTTTGCCTTGGTCAAGCCACACCTGGAATAAGGTAAAGGTAAAGGTACCCCTGCCCGTACAGGCCAGTCTTGACAGACTCTGGGGTTGTGCGCCCATCTCACTCAAGAGGCCGGGGGCCAGTGCTGTCCGAAGACACTTCCGGGTCACGTGGCCAGCGTGACATCACTGCTCTGGCGAGCCAGCGCAGCACACGGAACACCATTTACCTTCCCACCGGATTGGTACCTATTTATCTACTTGCACTTTGACGTGCTTTCGAACTGCTAGGTTGGCAGGCACTGGGACCAAGCAGCGGGAGCTCACCCCGCCGCGGGGATTCGAACTGCCGACCTTTCGATCGGCAAGCCCTAGGCGCTGAGGCTTTTACCCACAGCGCCACCCGTGCCCACACCTGGAATACTGTGTCCAATTCTGGGCACCACAATTTAAGAAGGATGGTGACAAGCTGGAACGTGTGCAGAGGAGGGAGACCAAGATGATCAAGGGTCTGGAAAGCAAGCCTGATGAGGAACGGTTGAGGGAGTTGGATAGGCTTAGCCTAGAGAAGAGGAGACTTGCTTTCCATTATCATGTTGGTTGGCCGGGGCGGATGGGAGTTGGAGTCCACCCTATGAACGTGAGTGGGCTTTGCAACGGAAGCAGGAAGAAGAAGCATCACACCTTAATCAGCTCCAGTTTTTCTCCCGCAGAGTTGAGTACCACCTCGTAGTAGTATTCCATGTGGGAGACCCGGTAACAGGGCTCCCTCAGCCGGCAGCTCCCCACGATCTGAACCGAACGGTGCCCATTTGGGGTCTTTATCAGAATGGAGTCGAAATCCATGGGCAGGCAGAAAAGCCCCTCTGAAAAGAGATCCGAGACGGAAATTATTATTATTATTATTATTATTATTATTATTATTATTATTATTATTTTATACCCGCCCATCTGGGCAGCTTTCAACAAAATATTAAAATACAGTAATGCATCAAACATTAAAAGCTTCGGGTAGCATTCTATTCATGTTGCAAACGGGCCTCCGGAACGGATCCTGTTTGCAACCAGAGGTACCACTGTAATAATAATTTATAATAACAACTTATTATTTATACCCCGCCCATCTGGCTTGGTCTCCCCAGCCTCTCTGGGCGGCCTCCAAGAAGACACTAAAATACAATAACCTATTAAACATTAAAAGCTTCCCTAAACAGGGCTGCCTTCAGATGTCTTCTAAAAGTCAGAGTGTTGTTTATTTTCTTGACATCTGGTGGGAGGGCGTTCCACAGGGTGGGGGCCACCACCAAGAAGGCCTTCTGCCTGGTTCCCTGTAACCTCACTTCTCGCAGGGAGGGAACCGCTAGAAGGCCCTTGGCGCTGGACCTCAGTGTCCGGGCAGAACGATGGGGGTGGAGATGCTCCTTCACGTATACTGGGCCGTTTAGGGCTTTCAAGGTCCGCACCAACACTTTGAATTGTGCTCGGAAACGTACTGGGAACCAATGTAGGTCTTCCAGGACCAGTGTTATATGGTCTCGACGGCCGCCCCCAGTCACCCGTCTAGCTGCCGCATTCTGCATTAGTTGTCATTTCCGGATCACCTCCATCTCCACCCCTCCATTCCTCACTGCGAGAGGTGAGGTTACAGGCAACCAGGCAGAGGGCCTTCTCGGTCGTGGCACCCATCCTGTGGAACACCCTCCCAGCAGATGTCAAGGGAATAAACAACTATCTGACTTTTAGAAGACATCTGAAGGCAGCCCTGTTTAGGGAAGCTTTTAATGTCTGATGTTTTATTGTGCTTTTAATTCTGTTGGGAGCCGCCCAGAGTAGCTGGGGAAACCCAGCCAGATGGGCGGGGTATTATTATTATTATTAATAATAATAATAATAATAAGTTGTTGTTTGTTAAGCCCTGTTGGTTTCCCCTGCAGATGACATCCTTGCTCCTGCTCTGAAAAAAGTCCCGGAGCTCCAATCCACAACACCTCTGCCTCGCATTACCTCCGGGATGTTCTGGATTGGAACACCTGCCGACGTCCAAGGTTTGTTCCAGAGGGGAGTCTGGGAAGAAGGTTTTCAGAGACGGCAGCCGAAGACATTCGGAAGGACTAGCGTTGCACTGGCAGCCCTCAATCACCTCCACCTGTCGAACGCCTTCCAGAAGCAAGAGCTCTTGTACCCGGACACTGCTGGGCTCGCAGCGGTAATTCGCTGGGCAGGAATGCTCCAACCTGGTGGAGGGTTCGGATCCTGCGAGAGAGCTGGGGAACCTCTCCTGTAGCTGGAAGGAAGAGCAAGAAGAAGAAAGCAGGGGAAGCTAGGTTTTTCGGGTATTATATACAATTTACAGCATGGGAGAAGTTATGGAATTGGGATTTGAAATTTACAGCATGTTATAAAGGTAAAGGGACCCCTGGCCGTTAGGTCCAGTCGTGGCCAACTCTGGGGTTGCGGCGCTCATCTCGCTTTATTGGCCGAGGGAGCCGGCGTACAGCTTCCGGGTCATGTGGCCAGCATGACTAAGCCGCTTCTGGCGAACCAGAGCAGCGCACGGAAACGCCGTTTACCTTCCCGCCGGAGCGGTACCTATTTATCTACTTGCACTTTGACGTGCTTTCGAACTGCTAGGTTGGCAGGAGCAGGGACCGAGCAACGGGAACTCACCCCTTCGCGGGGATTCGAACCACCAACTTTCTCGGCTCTGTGGTTTAGACCACAGCGCCACCCACATCCCCACACAGCATGTTATACGTTGAAAGAAAACTATATGAGGTATAAAACAGGGTCAAATATATGCTGGAAATGTAAGGAAAAAGAAGGCACCTTTTATTATATGTGGTGGACGTGTATGGTAGTAAAAGAATTTTGGGAAATGATATATAATGAACTGAAAAAAATGTTTAAAATAACTTTGCTTAAAAACCTGAAGTCTTTCTTTTAGGAATTCCAGGTGCCGAAATACCAATGGAGCAGAAAAGATTATTTGTGTATGTGACCACGGCTACACGGATGTTATTGGCCCAGAGATGGAAAGAAGATAAAAGTCACTACCAGGGAAGAATAACAGATCAAGTTGATGGCTAAATGGCTAAAATGACTGGAAGAATCAGAAATCGGGAACACCAAACTTTTAATAAGGAACAGGGGAAATTTATAGTTTACCTTAAAAACCATTGTAAACAGTTAAAATCATTAATAGGATTGGAATAACACTTGTAATTGTGAATTTTGGATATAATGGAGATGTAAAAGATTTGGAATGGGACGCTGGTGGCGCTGTGAGTTAAACCACAGAGCCTAGGACTTGCCGATCAGAAGGTCGGCAGTTCAAATCCCCACGACAGGGCGAGCTCCCATTGCTCTGTCCCTGCTCCTGCCAACCTAGCAGTTCAAAAGCACGTCAAAGTGCAAGTAGATAAGTAGGTACCACTCTGGCGGGAAGGTAAACGGCACTTTCTGTGCGCTGCTCTGGTTCGCCAGAAGCGGCTTAGTCCTGCTGGGCACCGGACCCGGAAGCTGTACGCCGGCTCCCTCGGCCAGTAAAGCGAGATGAGCGCCGCAACCCCAGAGTCGGCCACGACTGGACCTAATGGTCAGGGGTCCCTTCACCTTTACCTAAAAGATTTGGATTGTATTATAAAAGACGCAGGGGGAAATGACTAAAGAGTAGGACCCACAAAGGAGACAAGGAAAGTCCGGGAGATTCTATGGAACCTTGTTTTTATGTTGCATGTTGGATATGTGATTGTAAAACTTTAATTTGAGAAACCAAATAAATAAATGTATTTAAAGGAGAAGGAGAAGAAGAAGAAAGTGGGAGGTGCTGGACATCTTCCAAAGATATCCCGCAAGGTTTAGGGTCAGAGTTTTTCTTCTCCTACAGTAGTTGGACCATAAAGAAGGCTGATTGCCGAAGAATGGATGCTTTTGAATTCTGGTGCTGGAAGAGACTCTTGAGAGTCCCATGGACTGCAAGAAGATCAAACCTCTCCAAGGAAATCAGCCCTGAGTGCTCACTGGAAGGACAGATCCTGAATCTGAGGCTCCAAGACTTTGGCCACCTCATGAGAAGAGAAGACTCCCTGGAAAAGACCCTGATGTTGGGAAAGATGGAGGGCGCAAGGAGAAGGGGACGACAGAGGACGAGATGGTTGGATAGTGTTTTCGAGGTTACCAGCATGAGTTTGACCAAACTGCGGGAGGCAGTGGAAGACAGGAGTGCCTGGCGTGCTCTGGTCCAGGGGGGCACGAAGAGGCGGACACGACTAAACGACTAAACAACAACAGTAGTTGGGCTCCCTTCCACCTGCCCTAGCTCCCTTCCAAGAAACTACAGTTCCCAGGGTTCTTTGGGGTGCTTCAAACGTACGGCATTTACACAGCTGCCGAGTGCCAGCGATGGTCAAGCCCCTGCCCTGATATTTTCCTTTAGTTTCTTTTGCGAACAACCGAGCACCAGGTGGTGTCAGAGCTGCCTGCGGAGTTTTCCACTAAGGAGGAGGAAAATGTCAGCCAGGGCTCTGGTCGTTAAGTCGCCCAAACGGACCAGTGTCCACTGGCTTATTGTGCTCTTAAAACAAAAACAGACGCCGTACCTTTTTGGTTTTGAGGAAGTCCAGCATGGAGGATTGGCGGGAGATGCCGGCGAAACCTGTTGCGCTCTTTCTTCGGGTACCACCACAGTGCGCCTGGCAGAGGCCCAGGTCGATGCTCACCTGGCTGCCAGAGAGATCTGCGTAGAAAAACAAGGGAAAGGATGTTTGAAGAAGAAGAATACAGTGGTACCTCGGGTTAAGTGCTTAATTTGTTCTGGAGGTCTGTTCTTAACCTGAAACTGTTCTTAACCTGAGGCACCACTTTAGCTAATGGGGCCTCCCGCTGCTGCATGATTTCTGTTCTCATCCTGAAGCAAAGTTCTTAACCCGAGGTAATATTTCTGGGTTAGCGGAGTCTGTAACCTGAAGCGTATGTAACCCGAGGTACCACTGTACAGTCATACCTCAGGTTGAAGTAGCTTAGGGATGAGTATCTTCAGGTTGCACGCTGCAACGACCCGGAAGTAACAAAGCAGTTTACTTCCAGGTTTCGCCGCTCACGCATTGGCGGGCGGTCAAAATGACGTCACACGCATGCGCAGAAACGGCGAATCGCGACCCGCGCACACGCAGACACGGGTTGCGTTCGCTTCTGGATGCGAGCGGGACTCTTGAATAATAATAATACCTTTATTGTCAATGTGCAACCTGTGTACAATGAAATTAACCAAGCCTCCCTCCCCCCGCAAACACTCAATCTCGTTGCACTCTGTGCGCTTGTCACACAACACACCAACCCTGAAAGTCAGTTGCGCTATATTATTTTCCGTTCAGCACCCTAACAGCCCACCCTAACAGAAGGACAAGGTTTTAAAAAAATGATGTACAACACATAAAAAATAGTTATTAAAACAAACAAGCAAAAAACATCCAGACATTTAGCCTAAGACCAGTTTGCCATCACTATTTACCATTCCTTTCACTGTCTTAGCTGTGTTAATAGGGTGTGAGACCAGTACCAGGTATTAGATTAGCAAATCAGTGGGAGACCATAATCTGCAGTGTCAAATAGACAAAAGGATCAGATGGGGTGGGGTGGGGCGGCTGGGGCCTGGGGAGTAGATATGACCTTGCAAGCACATCTCTGAATAAAGGTTTTCTTGCTTGCAAGGCTGCCCTTTAAGTTTATTATGAAGGAAGCGAATGCCCCAAAATGCCAGCTAAGGAATGTACAGTTTTCTTCCTCCTGGGTTGTTGTTTTTTTTGGCACAAATCTGACCAAGTGATTAAGGTTGGGGGGGTGGGGAGAGAAGCAATTCAGGGCAGCGCTATAAAAAACGGTGTTCTGAAATGCCGTGAATTATGTGGCTTTGCTTTCTGCTGAAAATGTGGATTTTTTAAAAAGAGCTTGCAACTGCTGGAGCAAGGCCACCACATGTTAGCACAGAAAATAAACTGTGCTGGAGTCTCTAGGTGGTTTCTGTGTGTGTGTCTAGGAAATAGGCAAGTCACTTGTTCTGGTTGTACCTCCTCTGAAGGATCTGGTGTGTAGCTTGGGGTGTGGGCGTTTTTTCGTAGAATCATAAACTTGTAGAGTTGGAAGGGACCCGAGGGTCATCTAGTCCAACCCCCCTGCACATTGAAACACTTTACTGTCACTTGTACAATTTGTATACAGCGAGACTACACCAGCACCCCCCACTCAGCTCTCTTAGTCTTAATTCCCCTCATTTACTGACGCACACCCACCAAACCCGAAAATCAGTTTCCCTGTTGTTTTGCTTTGTTTGTTTTTTTGACCGACTCTGGGGTTGCGGCGCTCATCTCGCTTTACTGGCCAAGGGAGCCAGCGTACAGCTTCCAGGTCATGTGGCCGGCATGACTAAGCCGCTTCTGGCGAACCAGAGCAGCGCACGGAAACGCCGTTTACCTTCCCGCCGGAGCAGTATCTATCTATCTACTTGCACTCTGACGTGCTTTCGAACTGCTAGGTTGGCAGAACCTAGAACTACAGTGGTATCTCGGGTTAAGTGCTTAATTTGTTCTGGAGGTCCGTTCTTAACCTGAAACTGTTCCTTAACCTGAAGCACCGCTTTAGCTAATGGGGCCTCCTGTTGCTGCCACGCCACCGGAGCACGATTTCTGTTCTCATCCTGAAGCAAGGTTCTTATCCCGAGGTACTATTTCTGGGTTAGCGGAGTCTGTAACCTGAAGCGTATGTAACCCGAGGTACCACTGTACTCTATTCCGAACTTAAAAATGGAAAGTGTAATGCTGGTGGTCAACAAAAGAGGTTAAAAGACTCTCTCAAGGCAAATCTAAAAAAAAGTAGTCTGAACACTGACAACTGGGAAACACTGGCCTGAGAGCGCTCCAATTGGAGAACAGCCTTTACCAAAGGTGTCATGGGCTTTGAAGACACTCGAACTCAGGACAAAAGGGAGAAACGTGCTAAGAGGAAGGCACGCTTGGCAAAAGCACACTGTGATCAACTCCTGTCCGGAAACCTATGTCCTCACTGTGGAAGGACGTGTGGATCCAGAACTGGCCTCCGTAGTCACTTACGGATTCACTGTTAAAACCGTGTTCATGGAAGACAATCTTACTCGGCTACGAGGGATCGCCAAAGAAATAGTAGTTAAATCTTGGCTGCTGCGAGACAGAGGTACAAAGGCTGCCCTTAGCCTTTGGGCTAGCTCCATCTTCTGGTGGCAAAGAAACACAACATAAAGCAGTGATGGCCAAACTTGGCCCTCCAGCTGTTTTGGGACTACAGTTCCCATCATCCCTCACCACTGGTCCTGTTAGCTAGGGATGGTGGGAGTTGTAGTCCCAAAACATCTGGAGGGCCAAGTTTGGACATCACTGGCATAAAGGAATGACAGCCCATCCCTGATCAACTCCGAACTGGTTGAAACTTCCCAGCCAGCAACAAATGACAGGTACAGCGGTACCTCGGGTTACAGATGCTTCAGGTTACAGACTCCGCTAACCCAGAAATAGTATCTCGGGTTGAGAACTTTGTTTCAAGATGAGAACAGAGATTGTATGGCGGCAGCGGGAGGCCCCATTAGCTAAAGTGGTACCCCAGGTTAAGAACAGTTTCAGGTTAAGAACGGACCTCCAGAACGAATTAAGTACGTAACCAGAGGTACCACTGTACGCGATGCCATCCTGGGGGGGGGGGACAATTGAGGTACTGCAGGGTTCAGTCTTGGGCCCCTGTTGTCCAACGTATTTACAAACAACCTGGATGAAGGAATTGAAAGGATTCATAGTATTGGTGCTGACCTTTAAAGCCCTAAACAGCCTCGGTCCAGTATACCCGAAGGAGCATCTCCATCTCCATCGTTCTACCCAGACACTGAGGTCCAGCACCGAGGGCCTTCTGGCGGTTCCCTCACTGCGAGAAGCCAAGTTACAGTGAACCAGGCAGAGGGCCTTCTCGGTAGTGGCACCTGCCCTGTGGAACACCCTCCCACCAGATGTAAAAGAGAAGAACAACTACCAGACTTTTAGAAGACATCTGAAGGCAGCCCTGTTTAGGGAAGCTTTTAATGTTTAATAGGTTATTGTATTTTATAGTGTTCTGTTGGAAGCTGCCCAGAGTGGCTGGGGAAACCCAGCCAGATGGGCGGGGTATAAATTTATTATTATTATTATTATTATTATTATTATTATTATTATTATTATTATTATAAAGGTAAAGGTACCCCTGCCCGTACGGGCCAGTCTTGACAGACTCTGGGGTTGTGCGCCCATCTCACTCAAGAGGCCGGGGGCCAGCGCTGTCTGGAGACACTTCCGGGTCACGTGGCCAGCGTGACAAAGCTGCATCTGGCAAGCCAGCACAGCACACGGAAACGCCATTTACCTTCCCACCAGTAAGCGGTCCCTATTTATCTACTTGCACCGGAGGTGCTTTCGAACTGCTAGGTTGGCAGGCACTGGGACCGAGCAACGGGAGCGCACCCTGCCGCGGGGATTCGAACCGCCGACCTTTCAATCGGCAAGCCCTAGGCACTGAGGCTTTTACCCACAGCGCCACCCGCGTCCCCCTATTATTATTATTATGCTGCACATCAAATCCACAAGTGACACCAAACTGGGAGGGGTAGCTAATGCCGCAGAAGACAGAATCTTCAGGATTCAAGATGACCTTAACATGTCAGAGAAGATGGTCCATTATCCGACTGTCCACTCAGGACCCTGAAACTGTGATTTTATATTTAATTTCCATTTTCTTCCGTGTATATTACAATGTTCTCTTGTTGCTATGGCCGTTGGCTGAGGCGAAGAAAGTTTCTATTGACTGATTAACAGATCGGAGACCTCTGCGCAGGCTGGCAAAATGAATTTCAGCAGGGACAAATGTAAGGTCTTGCACTTAGGCAGGAAGTACAAATATAGGATGAAGGAAATGCAAAGATTGCTCCCCGCCTCAAAACCCCCACAAACAAACCCAAAGAGTCTGAATTCACACCTGATTCTTAAGAAGACCTGGAGGGGTTGGTGTTTTTCCTCCTTTGTTTTTTGCATTTCTGACATCTGCAATGCAGATGTCAAAGCAACAGCTGGGAGCTCTCACCTTTATACAGGAAATGTTTCTATAGGTTCTGAATAAGGAAGATCGAAGCCTTAAAAATGTCAAGATTCAGACTTTATTATTATTAAGAGAAAGGCTGTTTTCTGCTGCTCCAGAGAAGCGGACACGGAGCAATGGATCCAAACTACAAGAAAGAAGATTCCACCTAAACATTAGGAAGAACTTCCTGACAGTAAGAGCTGTTCGACAGTGGAATTTGCTGCCAAGGAGTGTGGTGGAGTCTCCTTCTTTGGAGGTCTTTAAGCAGAGGCTTGACAACCATATGTCAGGAGTGCTCTGATGGTGTTTCCTGATTGGCAGGGGGTTGGACTCGATGGCCCTTGTGGTCTCTTCCAACTCTATGATTCTATGATTCTATTATAATTTTAAAAAAGGAAAATTCTTCCCAGCACCTTATGGGCCTCTGCATTTGATCGCTCATTTGCTCTTCTTCCATTTATTTTAAACGAAAATACTGCAAGACAAGCAAACGGAATATCACACATATTTAAAGCGCGGGAGTGTAAGAGATGCGACTGAAATATTACACGTGCCATCGTTCAAGGCCGCGATCCTATAAGCACTTAACTTTGAGAAAGTCCCAGAGAAATCGGTCGGACTTACTCCCGAGTAGAAATGTATAAGTTTGCTCTGAGACGTAAGCTTCCCCTGACTAGAGGACTACAGGTGGGGCGGGCGGGGGGAGCCTGCTATAAAGCAAAAAAAAAAAAAGTGGGGGAGGTTTATATATGTGGAAAACAGTTTATATACAGATCGTATGCATCTAAACCAGTGGTTTGACTTTATTTGACTGGTCCATCGATCAATTGATTGCATCTAAAAGGTAAAGGGACCCCTGACCATTAGGTCCAGTCGTGGCCAACTCTGGGGTTGCGGCGCTCATCTCGCTTTATTGGCCGAGGGAGCCGGCGTACAGCTTCCGGGTCATGTGGCCAGCAGGACTAAGCCGCTTCTGGCAGACCAGAGCAGCACACGGAAACGCCGTTTACCTTCCCGCTGGAGCGGTACCTATTCATCTATTTGCACTTTTGACGTGCTTTCGAACTGCTAGGTTGGCAGGAGCAGGGACTGAGCAACGGGAGCTCACCCTGTCATGGGGATTCGAAACCGCTGACCTTCTGATTGGAAAGTCCTAGGCTCTGTGGTTTAACCCACAGCGCCACCCATGTCCCTTGATTGCAGCTACAACATGCCAAATTTTCCTCTATGGAGCTCAACATGGTTTATATGGTTCTCCGCCTTCTTCGTTAATTCCCACAACCCTGTGAGGGGGGGTTAGGCGTAGAGCGAGTGATTGGCCCAAGCTTAAGGGCAGAGCGGGAATTCGAACCCACCTCCACATTCAACTACTGTACCACATCGGTTCGCCCAGCCGTTAAAAAGTGACGTTAAAGGATGTCACATAGAGGAGGGAGAAAGGTTGTTTTCTGCGGCTCCAGAGAAGCGGACACGGAGCAATGGATCCAAACTACAAGAAAGAAGATTCCACCTAAACATTAGGAAGAACTTCCTGACAGTAAGAGCTGTTCGACAGTGGAATTTGCTGCCAAGGAGTGTGGTGGAGTCTCCTTCTTTGGAGGTCTTTAAGCAGAGGCTTGACAACCATATGTCAGGAGTGCTCTGATGGTGTTTCCTGCTTGGCAGGGGGTTGGACTCGATGGCCCTTGTGGTCTCTTCCAACTCTATGATTCTATGATTCATGAATCGTTGCATTTGTAAATTTGTAATAATTAACATTTGATGGGCAATATATTTTCCTGCACCATGCCTGTTCTGTTTTTTTCCCTCCCCATATTTTTAATCCATTCATTCATTCATCCATTTTTTTAGAAAGGGGAGACTTCCATTTTTCTCCCAAGGCTGTTTCCTTGGTTGCCACCACCTCAAAGCCTTTCAATGTTCTTTAAAGCCGGAGATCAAATCCACGCTATGCATTTAAAGCACACAGTCTCCTTCCCCTGAATTTTGTTGGGAACTGTAGTTTCGCTAGGCGCAGACTATAGCTCCCCGGATTCGCGTCCTTCAAAGTGTACGGGGTGAAAAGTGGGATATGAAAGTTTAAAACGAAACAAGCAAGGGAACCAGAAGACAGAGCAGCTGGAAGAGAACCTGGCTTTCCAGACGACTCACCATGTCCAATGTAGACAGACCGCACTCGCCTTTTGCAACATCCGTGCTTGGCAAATAGATTCCTTCCTTCGTGGAGCTCGCTGGCGGCTCTCATGCCTGGAGTTAAAAATCACAACACTCGGTTTGCGCCAGCTTAACACCCGGGAAAACCTTTGCAGCCCTTCTCAACCTGTGGGTCCCCAGATGTTGTTGGACTACAACTCCCATCATCCCTAGCTAGCAAGGCCAGAGCTCAGGGATGATGGGAGTTGTAGTCCAATAACATCTGGGGACCCACAGGTTGAGAACAGCTGCTTAAGGGAAACTAAAGGAATGGCTCAGTCGGCAGAGCACGGCAGAGACTTAATCCCAAGGCTGTGGGTTTGAGCACCAAGTTGGGCAAAAAATGGGGGCGGACTATAGAACCCTTATGATCCCTGCCAACTTCCAACCCTTGTGATCCCTTCCATACAGGACCGGATTTAGTTTTGATGAGGCCCTAAGCTACTGAAGGTAATAAAGGTAAAGGGACCCTGACCGTTAGTCGTGACCGACTCTGGGGTTGCGGTGCTCATCTCGCTTTATTGGCCAAGGGAGCCGGCGTACAGCTTCCGGGTCATGTGGCCAGCATGACTAAACCGCTTCTGGCGAATCAGAGCAGTGCTCACCCCGTCGCGATTCAAACCACCAACCTTCTGATCGGCAAGTCCTAGGCTTTGTGGTTTAACCCACCGCGCCACCCACGTCCCTACTGAAGGTAAAGGTAAAGGGACCCCTGACCATTAGGTCCAGTCGTGGTCGACTCTGGGGTTGCGGCGCTCATCTCGCTTGACTGGCCGAGGGAGCCGGTGTACAGCTTCCGGGTCATGTGGCCAGCAGGACTAAGCCGCTTCTGGCGAATCAGAGCAGCGCACGGAAACACCGTTTACCTTCCCGCCTATTTATCTACTTGCACTTTGACATGCTTTCAAACTGCTAGGTTGGCAGCAGCAGGGACCGAGCAACGGGAGCTCACCCCATCGCGGGGATTCAAACCACCAACCTTCTGATTGGCAAGTTCTAGGCTCTCTGGTTTAACCCACAGCGCCACCCACGTCCCTACTGAAGGTAATGGGGCCCTTTATATGTCCAGCTGTCCTTTGTCAACAACAAATTGTTGCTGCTTTTTGGTTTGAATATATGCTATATGACAATTTGTGGACCTCATAAGAATCTAAAGCCATTTACACATGTTGCCATGCAACCAGTCCCTGTACATTTCCTAAATATAAGATAATAAACTAATAAAATAAAACATACATACAGCAACAGTTTTTTGTGTTGTGTAGGGTCCTATGATGTAAGCCATGGCCCCCGCCTGCTAGCCTGCTCCCTAAAATATCATTGGTTTGCTCCTTTCTATATATAGGGTGCCTACAGTCTGCTATTTATAATTATTAGTAGTTTGCACCATATATTTACACCTCTTATTATTTCATCTTCTAGCAAGTTTCTAGAGACTAGATTATGAGCCTTTGTAAACTGTGTTTCTAAAGGAACTTTTGTTATTGCCAAATGCCAATGTGTTTGCATTATTAAGTCTGTTATAAATTTAAAAAAAAAACACATTTTAAGTTTGAGCTTAACAATTATTTCACTGTTCATATACTTCTTAATTGTATTTCGCTATTCATATACAGTGGTACCTCAGCTTACATACGCTTCAGGTTACAGACTTCCCTAATCCAGAAATAGTGCTTCAGGTTATGAACTTTGCTTCAGGATGAGAACAGAAACCGGGCTCCGGCGGCGCGGGAGGCCCCATTAGCTAAAGTGGTGCTTCAGGTTAAGAACAGTTTCAGGTTAAGTACGGACCTCCGGAACGAATTCAGTACTTAACCCAAGGTACCACTGTACTTCATACTTGTATTTCAGTTCAACAAGGACTTTGGTAAAATACGTATTTTGTTATGTGCAAATGGCTTTAGATCCCTATTAGGTCCATAAATTACCATATAGCAGTGGTGGCCAAACTCAGCCCTCCAGATGTTTTGGGACTACACCTCCCATCATCCCTAGCTAACAGGACCAGTGGTCAGGGATGATGGGAATTGTAGTCCCAAAACATCTGGAGGGCCAAGTTTGGCCACCACTGCCATATAGCTTTTATTCAACACACACAAAAAAACAGTGACAATTTGTTGTTGACAAAGGACAGCTGGACATATTTGTTGTTGTTGTTGTTGAGTCGTTTAGTCATGCCCAACTCTTCGTTACCCCCTGGACCAGAGCACGCCAGGCACTCCTGTCTTCCACTGCCTCCCGCAGTTTGGTCAAACTCATGTTAGTAGCTTCGAGAACACTGTCCCACCATCTCTGTCGTCCCCTTCTCCTTCTGCCCTCCATCTTTCCCAACATCAGGGTCTTTTCCAGGGAGTCTTCTCTTCTCATGAGGTGGCCAAAGTCTTGGAGCCTCAGCTTCAGGATCTGTCCTTCCAGTGAGCACTCAGGGCTGATTTCCTTCAGAATGGAGAGGTTTGATCTTCTTGCAGTCCATGGGACTCTCAAGAGTCTCCTCCAGCACCAGAATTCAACAGCATCAGTTCTTCGGCAATCAGCCTTCTTAAAGGGCCCCATTACCTTCAGTAGCTTAGGGCTTCATCAAACCTAAATGTAGCCCTATGCATGCATCACTTGCGAAGGCATCTCCCTGAACCCAGCACACCCCAAAAGGAAGGAGGAAAGAAGACTTACTGAGAGAGCTGGAGAGACAAACGAACCAGGAGAGAAATAGCATCCTTCTGGGCTGGGAGATTCTCTGCTACAGGGACCTCTGTCTTCTGGGTCAAGCGGAGGCGGCTGCCAAGAGAGGGCGAAAGGGGGCTTGGGACATAGCAGGAAAGTGTTATCTCTGGAGGCAACACCTCTGAGGCACCTGAGACGGGATGGAGACATGTCTGGAGGGAAGATCAAAGGAGGAAAGGGCAATCTACCTCTCCAGGAGCCCCTCACTTGAAAACTCATTAAATTCTCAAGTCCCTGGAGGGATGCTTTCAAGTAGTAGATGGTTTGAAAGGGGATTAAAGCAGGCATGACCAAAGTCTGCTTTGGGGGCCTAATCCGGCTCCTGTGGCAGCACATGTTGCGGGGTAAAATTGTAAAAAAAGCTCAACAACTTCATTTTTTTAATTGAGTTTTCCATATTTAGTTAGATTTCATTACATGAATCTAATCCAGAATGCGGCAGCTAGACTGGTGACTGGGGGAGGCCGCCGAGACCACATAACACTGGTCTTGAAAGACCTACATTGGCTCCCAGGACGTTTCCAAGCACAATTCAAAGTGTTGGTGCTGACCTTTAAAGCCCTAAACGGCCTCGGCCCAGTATCCCTGAAGGAGCGTCTCCACCCCCATCGTTCTGCCCGGAACTGAGGTCCAGTTCCGAGGGCCTTCTGGCAGTTCCCTCATTGCGAGAAGCAAAGCTACAGGGAACCAGGCAGAGGGCCTTCTCGGTAGTGGCGCCCGCCCTGTGGAACGCCCTCCCATCAGATGTCAAAGTGATAAACAACTACCTGACATTCAGAAGACATCTTAAGGCAGCCCTGTTCAGGGAAGTTTTTAACGTGTGATATTTTAGTGTATTTTTGGTTTCTATGGAAGCCGCCCAGAGTGGCTGGGGAGGCCCATCTGGATGGGTGGGGTATAAATAATAAATTATTATTATTATTATTATTATTATTATTATTATTATTATTATTATTTATTACTTCCCGCCTCCCCTTTGTGGGTCCTGCTGTTAATAATAATAATAATAATAATAATAATAATAATAATAATAATAATAATTCTGGGCGGCTTCCAACAGAATATTAAAATACAAAACCTATTAAACATTAAAAGCTTCCCTAATCATTTCCTTCTGCATCTTTTATGATCATCCAAATCTTTTACATCTCCACTGTGTCCAAAATTCACCATTAAACTACAAGTGATATTCCAATCCTGCTAACGATTTGATTTGATTTTATTTTGCTTTTCTATGGCTCAGTTTATTCTCCCCCTTTAATATTTTTAAAATTATTTTCAGTTAATTCACATTACATGTTGATTGCCACACACCTACAATATTGTACATAACACGAATATATTATTTCTGTAAATTCCCCACATCTAACCCTGCAACCATCTCCCCTTATACCCAAATACCCATGTGACTCCCTTCACCCCACATGCGTGATATCCAACTTGTTACTTCACAAAAACCTCTAACATTGTGTTCATTTTTGTTCATTACAATAGTCATTCATCTATTTAAAAAAGAAAAAACATAGCTTTTTAACTTAATGGGTTCTTGCTAACGATTTTAATTGTTTACTGTGGTTTTTAAGATAAGTTATAAATCCCCCCCCCATTCCTTATTAAAACTTTGGTCTTCCTGATTTCTGATTCTTCCTGTCATTTTAGCCATTTTGGCATAAATCCATCAACTTGATCTCCCATTCTTCTCTGGTAGGGATTTCATCTCCTTTCCACCTCTGGGCCAATAATAATAATAATAATAATAATAATAAATTTTATTTATATTCCACTCTCCCCAGCTGAAGCCGGGCTCAGGGCGACTAACAACAATAAAATAATACATTCTAAAATCATTTCATTATAAAATTAATTCGAATAACACCCGCACAGCCATGATCGCATACACAGTCTTTTCTGCCCCCTTGAGATTTCAGCATCTAGAATTCCTAATGTGTTTATTTCATGTGTGTAATACCTTCTGTGTTCCATGTCCTTCCTCTCTCTCTCTCTCTCTCTCTCTCTCTGCCACAACCCCTCTACAATTGACCCACGCCCCTCAATAACATCATTTTGATACAAGGCACGCAACATTCTGCTGTGCCAACGCTGCCAAATTCTCCCGCCCTCGACCTTCCACTCTGGAGAAAGCAGAATGTTTGTGGAGGTTCCTTAACGCCTTGGCCAGCAGCGAAGGGGGACTCTGTGCCATTCGGGGCAGCCGGAGCTATTTCAGCTCTGGTCCAGGGGGTCACGAAGAGTCGGACACGACTAAACAACAACAACAACATTGCGGAAAGACATAGCTGCCTGGAGAGAAAAATACTCTTGACGATGTGCTGACGACATCATTACTGGCCTCTCTTTTCACCTAACGGAGGCAGGGAAACCGTCCCTGCTCTGAGGGGGGGGGTTGGACTAGATCAGTGTTTCCCAACCTTTTTTGGGCAAAGGCACACTTGTTTCATGAAAAAAATCTCGAGGCACACCACCTTTACAGCCCCGTGACGTCAGCGCGCAGCGTCACGCCGGGAGGGACGCACGAAAGTGTAAGATTCAATTTTTTTCCCTCCCCCTTGCCTTCCTTCTGTGCCAACCGCCAAAAAGCCAAGAATCGCGGGACCGCCGGCGGAGGGGGGGTGGGCGAGCGGAGGCAGCGGCGAGCCCCGTTCCTCCCCATCCGCCCCATTCCGTGCAAGGAGCGCGAACAGGTGTGAGAAGGGGGTCAAACCTGCGGGTCGGCGCCGGGGAACCTCCAAGCTTTGGGGGTGGGGGGGAGGAGGCAGCAAAGCGAGGCAGGAAGGAGAGCGCGGCTTGGCGAAGTACTCGGCGGCGAAGGCCAGCAGGTCCGGCGGCCGGTGCCGCAGCACCTCCACCGTGTAGCCCTGCAGCAGCTCAGTCAGACCCGGCGGGATCTCGATGCTCATCTTGTAGCCGAGGCGCGCGGGAGACTCAACGGACGGGCCCGGGAGAGAGAGAGAGAGAGACACGACGGAGAGAGAGCGGGAGTCCCTGCTCGCCGTCGCCACCGCTACAACTACTGTGGCGGTTGGTCGTGGTCGCCGCCGCCGCCGCCCACCTCTATCTATCTCTCCCCCTCAGCTTTCTACGCGGGCCTCGAGCCGGAGGTGGGGGGTGGCCGCCGCCGCTTTCTCCGCCTCCACGTCCTGCCTCCTCCTCCTCGAGCCCTCCGTCAGCCCTGAGGGAACCGCCGCACTCGCGCCGCCGCTCTCTGACACGTGAGAAAGAGAAAGGAACGGAGCGGCGGGGTAGTCGGGGGAAGGAGGGGCCGGAATGGAAGCGCGAGGCGAGCTGCGCATGCCCAACAGGAAGCGGCGGAGAACGCCACAGAGAGAGAGAGAGAAGCAAGGGAGGGCGGGGAGTGGGCGGGAACACGCTTCATGCGTCACAATAACGGACAAGAGGCGCTCGAGGGATAGATTAGGACCTAATTTGACTTTTACAAAAACAAAAAAAAATCTTTCGAATTTTCCCCACGGCACACCAGGCAACATCTCGCGGCACACTAGTGTGCCGCGGAACAGTGGTTGGGAAACACTGGACTAGATGACTCTAGGGGACCCCGGCAAGTGCTACAAATCACTCTTCCCTCACGGTACCTGGTGATCTTGCAGTTCCTTGCGGTGGCATGCGTCCCTGTGTATATTACATCACACCTGGCAGCATTGTTTGTGAAGTCAGACTCGGGCACCAAGAAGTCCGGATTGACGGTCACCTTGAAAATGGGATGAGAACAATACAGTCAAGTTCCAGCCCACTGTTTCCTCTCCTAAAATCTGGCGGTGTCCTTAACTGTTGCAAGCTCAGATCATAATAAGGCTTGTTTTTCCTCTTCTTCACCAGGAAAGACTTGTTATAATAATAATAATAATAATAATAATAATAATAATAATAATAATAATAATTTATTATTTGTACCCCACCCATCTGGCTGGGTTTCCCCAGCCACTCTGGGCGGCTTCCATAGAAACCAAAAAAACACTAAAATATCATACATTAAAAACTTCACTGAACAGGGCTGCCTTAAGATGTCTTCTGAATGTCAGGTAGTTGTTTATCGCTTTGACATCTGATGGGAGGGCGTTCCACAGGGCGGGCGCCACTACCGAGAAGGCCCTCTGCCTGGTTCCCTGTAGCTTTGCTTCTCGCAATGAGGGAACCGCCAGAAGGCCCTCGGCGCTGGAGCTCAGCGTCCGGGCAGACCGATGGGGGTGGAGACGCTCCTTCAGGTATACTGGGCCGAGGCCATTAGGGCTTTAAAGGTCAGCACCAACACTTTGAATTGTGCTTGGAAACGTACTGGGAGCCAATGTAGGTCTTTCAAGACTGGTGTTATGTGGTCTCGGCGGCCGCCCCCAGTCCCCAGTCTAGCTGCTGCATTCTGGATTAGTTGTAGTTTCCGAGTCACCTTCAAAGGTAGCCCCATGTAGAGCGCATTGCAGTAGTCCAAGCGGGAGATAACTAGAGCATGCACCACTCTGGCGAGACAGTCCACGGGCAGGGAGGGTCTCAGCCTGTGTACCAGGTGGAGTTGGTAGACAGCTGCCCTGGATGCAGAATTGACCAGAATTGTTACAAGAATTCTAGGCTCTCAAATATAAAATAAAGGTAAAGGGACCCCTGGATGCTTAAGTCCAGTCAAAGGCGACTATGGGGTTGCGGCGCTCATCTCGCTTTCAGGCCAAGGGAGCCGGCATTTGTCCACAGACATCTTTCTGAGTCATGTGGCCAGCAGGACTAAACTGCTTCTGGCGCAATGGGACACCGTGATGGAAACCAGAGTGCACGGAAACGCCGTTTACCTTCCTGCCGCAGTGTTACCTATTTATCTACTTGCACTGGCGTGCTTTCGAAGTACTAGGTTGGCAGGAGCTGGGATAGAGTAACATGAGCTCACCCCGTCGCAGGGATTCGAACTGCTGACCTTCTGATTGGCAAGCCCAAGAGGCTCAGTGGTTTAGACCACAGCACCACCCGCATCCCATCTATTATTATTATCATTAACTGCATGAACCTGTGAGATTGAGAAGGCGATTGGGCCGCATCCGGCCCACGGGCCTTAGGTTGCCTACCCCTCACAAGAGCCACGTCCTTCTCTCTTGTGGTTTCTGTTGAGAGCTTTATCCTCCTTAAAAGGTAAAGGGACCCCTGACCGTTCGGTCCAGTCACAGACGACTCTGGGGTTGCAGCGCTCATCTTGCTTTATTGGCCAAGGGAGCCGGCGTACAGCTTCCGGGTCCTGTGGCCAGCACGATTAAGCCGCTTCTGGCAAACCAAAGCAGCACACAGAAATGCCGTTTACCTTCCTGCTGCAGCGGTACCTATTTATCTACTTGCACAGGCGTGCTTTCTAACTGCTAGGTTGGCAGGAGCAGGGACCGAGCAACGGGAGCTCACTCCGTTGCGGAGATTCGAACCACCGACCTTCTGATCCACAAGCCCAAGAGGCTCAGTGGTTTAGACCACAGCGCCACCCGCGTCCGTTATACTGGCAAGGCAAAATGCCCCTGTGTTCCTGGATGACGCCTCATGCCCACGCCCATTTCCCTGCCAGTTTGAGCTTAGCAGCCAACCATACCTTGAGAATATAATTCCCAGGGGGGACGTCTGTAATGTCGATCCACTGGCAGTCAATGTGAGCATCGTATGTGTCGTAGCAGCCAGGACCCAGGCCCTGAATGGAAGACAACATCACATGAAGAACAGAGGATCTGACGAACGGATTATTAAAAACGCGTGAGGCAAATGGTGGAAGTCTTTTTCAAAGTGATGGTGCTGACCTTTAATTCAAAGTGATGGTGCTGACCTTTAAAGCCCTAAACGGCCTCAGTCCTGTATACCTGAAGGAGCGTCTCCACCCCCATCGTTCTGCCCGGACGCTGAGGTTCCCTCATTGCGAGAAGCAAAGCTACAGGGAACCAGGCAGAGGGCCTTCTCGGTAGTGGCGCCCGCCCTGTGGAACTCCCTCCCATCAGATGTCAAAGCGATAAACAACTACCTGACATTCAGAAGACATCTTAAGACATCTTCAGGGAAGTTTTTAATGTGTGATTTTACTGTATTTTTGGTTTCTGTGGAAGCCGCCCAGAGTGGCTGGGGAAACCCAGCCAGATGGGCAGGGTACAAATAATAAATTATTATTATTATAATCTAAAACATAAAGCATTGCTCAGACAGAGCACCGACTTCCTTCCCTCCCTCTTTCCGACTTCCAAACATCTATTGATAAATATTCACATTTCCATAACCGCTTTTTTTACTTTAAATCTTCTTTTTTATAAAAATTACCTCCTTATATGTGAATCGGTTCCTTATTTTCACATTACAAAGCATTTCAATTCAAACCTACAAACGTTTACAATTTTCTTTCATATAAAATATAAATCTGGACGGAGTGGACAGAGGAAACCTCCCCCCCCTTGCCCCGCTCTCATAGAAATTGTGAGCTTCATTAACCGTGAACCCCAAAATATGTGATCCCCTTTGCATGTTTTGCAGTGTCCCACATTCAAGCAATGGCTATATCAAACTGAGGTTCATAGTTAACACCCCAAAATCCAGCTTTGTCCAATTCACTCCAAACCGGCACCAAATTTGGGGGAAAGTTCCACAGCGAAAAACCCCCATTTTGCAGCACCCCACAAACAGACCCTCAAACCTGGGGGGTGACGAGGTCACCCAAACACCAACACCATCCAATTCACTTCAAACTGGCACGGTTTTTCCCCCTGAAAAACAAAGCGAAACTTTTGCCAAAGTTTGGCATTGCATCACACCAGATCACCAGAAACTATTTGGATCTCATCGTTTTAGAGCTGCCCGCAGGGAAGGCTTTTGCAGACCTGAGGTTTTATGTCACACCCTCTGTGCTTTTTCACAAGGCCATTTTAAGAAATTGCCTGAGGACATTGTTCCTTAGGGGGACACGGGTGGCGCTGTGGGTTAAATCACAGAGCCTAGGACTTAGAATCATAGAATCCTAGAGTTGGAAGAGACCACAAGGGCCATCGAGTCCAACCCCCTGCCAAGCAGGGAACACCATCAGAGCACTCCTGACATATGGTTGTCAAGCCTCTGCTTAAAGACCTCCAAAGAAGGAGACTCCACCACACTCCTTGGCAGCAAATTCCACTGTCAAACGGCTCTTACTGTCAGGAAGTTCTTCCTAATGTTTAGGTGGAATCTTCTTTCTTGTAGTTTGGATCCATTGCTCCGTGTCCGCTTCTCTGGAGCAGCAGAAAACAACCTTTCTCCCTCCTCCATATGACATCCTTTTATATATTTGAACATGGCTATCATATCACCCCTTAACCTCCTCTTCTCCAGGCTAAACATGCCCAGCTCCCTTAGCCGTTCCTCATAAGGCATCGTTTCCAGGCCTTTGACTTGCCGATCAGAAGGTCGGCGGTTCGAACCCCTGCGACGGGGTGAGCTCCCGTTGCTCAGTCCGTGCTCCTGCCAACCTAGCAGTTTGAAAGCACGCCAGTGCAAGTAGATAAATAGGTACCACTCTGGCGGGAAGGTAAACGGCGTTTCTGTGCGCTGCTCTGGTTCGCCAGAAGCGGCTTAGTCCTGCTGGCCACATGTCCTGGAAGCTGTACGCCGGCTCCCTTGGCCAATAAAGCGAGATGAGCGCCACAACCCCACTGCAACATTTGAAGGTCCCATGCATCCAGCTCCTATGCAACGTGGAAGTTATGGTAGAGAAGTAGACCGTGGCAGTAGATGCAATTCTGATTGCAATTTAGGGACAAGCAGTTTTGAATTCTGCCAGAAGAGGGCAACCCAGAAAGGCTTTCTCCCTTGCAAGATTTTGACAGGGAGGCTTCCTGGTGTTGCTCTGCTTAAGGGCAGGTATTAAAATTCGACAGTGCTGCAAAACTGCATGCAGAACTAAACCCCAGGGCAGGCACACCAATGAGGCAAGGTGAGCGGGCTGCCTAGGGAGGGAGGATGCAGAAAGGTGGTGTTTGAGGAGACCCAAGAGTCCGTTCCACTGTCCGAAAAGCTCTTACAGATGTTTAGTCGGGATCTGCTTTCTTGTAACTTGAATAATAATATTTTTTTAAAAAAAAATATACAGTGGTGCCTCGCAAGACGAAATTTAATTCGTTCCGCGAGTTTTGTCGTCTTGCGATTTTTTTCGTCTTGCGAAGCACGGTGTCGGGAAAGTTTTGGAAAAGCTTCAAAAATCACCAAAAGTCTTTAAAAACCTCAAAAAAGGCTACCACACCGCGTTCTATGAGTTGCTCCTCGAAGTCAAGTCGCAACTGTATTAACGGTGTTAAGAAAAAGGAAACAAACTTGCAAGACGTTTCCGTCTTGCGAAGCAAGCCCATAGGGAAAATCGTCTTGCGAAAGCAGCTCAAAAAACAAAAAACCCTTTTGTCTTGCGAGTTTTCCGTCTTGCGAGGCATTCGTCTTGCGAGGTACCACTGTAATTTTTATTAGTATTTTCCACACAACAACACGAAAAATATCGAAAAATAACAATACACAGCACACAAAAACCAACATTCGAAAACTAAAGAAAGGAACAACTAAAAAAACCCACAACAAAACACAACAAATCCATATCTTACAAGTTAATAATATAAACATTAAAGAGAAAAACAAGCATTGACTTCCACCAGTCCCACAGCACCTCCTTTACCTCTCACTGTGTCTTCCTGTCTTCCTTATCATCTCTATCGTAACATCCAGATATAAATCCCTCTTTCATATCCTTTCACTTCACAAGGTTATTCCAGACTCAGCCAGATTTCTGCCCTCGAACCTTGACTTTTGAGGTATTCGTTTAGGCACTCCCATTCTTTTTTTTACTTCACTTTTTGGTTTTTGTCTTATTATGTCTGTCAATTTGGCTAATTCTAAGTATTCTGAGAGCTTACATAGCCACTAATAGTAATAAAATTTTATTTATGTCCCGCCCTCCCAGCCGAAACCGGGCTCAGAGCGGCTAACAACAATAAAAGTAACACAACATTCAAAAATCAATTCATTTTATAAATCAGTTCAAAATCAAATTATTGGCAAATTAATTGAAGCCATCAGTACGGTAATTATTTATTAATTATTATTAATTATTATTATTATTATTATTATTATTATTATTATTATTATTACCCTGCCCATCTCCCACTCTGCACGGCTCCCAACAGAATATTAACAACATGACCCAACATTAAAAGCTTCCCAAAGCAGGGCTGCCTTCAGATGTCTTCTAAAAGTCAGATAGTCATTTATCTCCTTGACATCTGATGGGAGGGCATTCCATGGGGAGGGTGCCACTACCAAGAAGGCCCTCTGCCTGGTTCCCTGTAACTTGGCTTCTCGCAGGGAGGGAACCGCCAGAAGGCCCTCGGAGCTGGACCTCAGTGTCCGGGCAAAACGATGGAGGTGGAGACTTGAACTGTTCGTCTTTTGTATGCTATACATTTCAGACAGTAATTTAACATGGTTTTCTAACAGTTCTTTTTGAAATCTTGATATTTCACGACTGAAACCTTTCTTCTTATCTGTCTTAAAAGTATCACTTAGTTGGTGAAACCCTAAGTCATGGGTAGGCAACCTAAGGCCCGGGGGCCCGATCCGGCCCAATCGCCTTCTAAATCCGGCCCGCGGACAGTCCAGGAATCAGTGTGTTTTTACATGGGTAGAACATGTCCTTTTATTTAAAATGCATCTCTGGGTTATTTGTGGGACATAGGAATTCGTTCTTTTTCTTTTCTTTCTTCAAAATATAGTCTGGCCCCCCACAAGGTCTGAGGGACAGTGGACTGGCCCCCTGCTGAAAAAATTCACTGACCCTAATTTCTTGACCAGTTTCATTTGCCTTTGGACAGAGGCCTTAGGTGTGTTGTTGCTTTTCTTTCTATCTTTAATAATAATAATAATAATAATAATAATAATAATAATAATTTTTATTTATACCCCGCCCTCCCCAGCCAAGACCGGGCTCAGGGCGGCTAACACCAGGTACAAACAACTGAATAAAATACAACTTAAAAAAAAAAAAAGATTAAGTACAACATTAAAATGCAGCCTCATTTCAGTAGAAACTCAAATCAAAAACTTTTGGGGGATGAAAACCTCAAATCTTTATAAATCTTTATAACCGGGAGGAGGAATGGATTTGTTTTCAGACTGCATTCCTGGTGAATCTCCTCTGAGGTTGAGAAAGGCGACAGATTGTGAAGATTAACAACGCTAAGACTGTTTTGATTTATGGAAGTGATGTTATACGGAAAACATCTGGATATGGCTCTTGGATTTAAAAAAAAATATCCACACAGGATTACAAACTGTTTTAACCAGCTTGTGGAGACTATCAGAGGTCACAAAGAGAAAGGAAAAATATATGAAAATAATAAGAAGAGATGTGGAAAAACAATAAGAAAGGACTGGATAGTACTGTGAGCATCATATGGTCAGATTTGTGGACATTAAAGCAGTAATAAGAAGCAAGAAGACGATTGGATCCCCTTCGGAACTTGAAATATGGGTACCCCCAACAAAAATTTAAAATTCGGCTTTGTAATTTGTAATTTATGTAATTTGGTTTGATTTGATGTGATTGGTCGGTTAATAAAAATTATTCTTAAAAAGAAAGAAAGAAAGAAAACGTCAAATCTTCACCAAAGCCAACTCTCCAGACTGGTCCTAGGTGGGCCAGAAAAAAGCCAGGGAAGTCCCCAAATAGGAG